GAACGTGTCGGTGGTTTGACCGACAAAGAATGTTCCGATGTCTTTGGTACCTGGAACAAGGGTGTTTTGAACTCTTTCTTGATCGAAATCACTACCGACATTTTGAAATACAACGACACTGACGGTGTCCCATTGGTTGAAAAGATTTTGGATCAAGCTGGTCAAAAGGGTACTGGTAAGTGGACTGCTATTAACGCTTTGGACTTGGCTATGCCAGTCACTTTGATTGGTGAAGCTGTCTTCTCTAGATGTTTGTCAGCTATCAAGGACCAAAGAGTTCAAGCTTCTGGTATCTTGCCAGGTCCATCTGTTCCAAAGGGTGCTATCAAGGACAGAAAGCAATTCATTGACGACTTGGAACAAGCTTTATACGCTTCCAAGATTATTTCCTACGCTCAAGGTTTCATGTTGATCAGAGAAGCCGGTATCCAATACGGTTGGAAATTAAACAACCCATCCATCGCTTTGATGTGGAGAGGTGGTTGTATCATCAGATCTGTCTTCTTGGGTGAAATCACCAAGGCTTACAGACAAAACGGTGACTTGGTTAACTTGTTGTTCGACAAGTTTTTCACTGACGCTGTCACCAAGGCTCAAGACGGTTGGAGAAAGACCATCTCTTTGTCCGCCTTATACGGTATCCCAACCCCAGCCTTCTCTACTGCTTTGGCCTTCTACGATGGTTACAGATCTGAAAGATTGCCAGCTAACTTGTTGCAAGCTCAAAGAGATTACTTCGGTGCCCACACCTTCAAGGTATGTCCAAAATACGCTTCTGACAAGATGCCATTGGACACTCCAATCCACGTTAACTGGACTGGTAAGGGTGGTAACGTCTCTGCTTCCACTTACAACGCTTAGGTTCACGAAAGTCTGTAATGTGTTCAATAAATATATATATATATCAATTCTATATACTTTAATGATTTAAGAAGTTAATCGGTTAATTTTTTTATTTTGTTTTCTTTTCTCTTTTATTACATCATCCTCTAGTAACGCCTTAACCAAAATATAGCATAATATTTATTCCAATATGTACAGGTTATATTATACTATATGTATATATGCAATGCAGTCAATTAATTTCACATTCGATTTTTCACTTATCGAATATTCTCTTTGACAATTCATAAGTTGATATCATTATAGCACAGCTTGGTGCAATTTTAAATATTCTTGGCATTAGCCCAGCGTACAAAGCTCTTATTCCTTCATTCTTCTTAATATTGTTCAAAAATCTAAACAAATTCTTTGATGGTTTTTCAACTTTAGTCAATGTGTTATTATCATTATTCACTAGCGATATTTGCAACCTAGTTTTGCCAACATCAAATGGATGCGTTATAAGAGCTGCTATCGTGCCACTGATAGTACCATGTATAAAACTATTCATGAAATGGAATATATTGGAACTTGATGAGTCCTTAATCATAAGATTTCTTTTACAAAATTCGTACGTTCCCCAATAGATGGCACTAAATGGGACATCTCTCCATAGCGTGATTTCTAACCCTTTAAACAAAGCTTTGTAACCAGTTGATTGTACCTCATTTCGAGTTTCCTTCAGCAGATCTTTGATTAGTAATAAGCTCTTAGTGTTTTTAGAAGATGTGGGTATACTTTGTAGTCTCGTCTTTAACAGTTCTAATGGAGCAACACTAGATGCTGCTATAACTCTTGCTAAAGCACCACATATCACAGGGTTAAAAGTTGGCAAACTGGACTTCAATGGTGATATATCTCTTATATACTCATAACCAGTGAAATAAACAATATTAGCAGGAATGGCCATAAACAAAGTTAACGATAGACCTCTCCATAACGAATGAATACCTTCCACATGTGCAATGTTCCTCATGGCCTCTAAAGTACCAGAATATCTAATTGATGTATTCTTACAGTTTATATCTTGGAAGCAGAATGTTTGCCAAAAAATTGCATGATCGCTAGAATGTTTAACGAAAGAAGAAACTGCCTGTCTCCCAGTTTTACCACCATCACATGAACAATCAGGAAGCAACTCCTGCTGCTGAAGTCTAATCCTGACAACATCCATTGGTGTTAAAATCAAAGATGTAATCAGTGATCCAGAGACTGCACTAGCCATTCGCTCACTCAAGGTAAGTGTAACCTCCCCCGGCATCCTCGTTCCTTAGGGATATGAAATTAATGCCACAATAAACTAGATACTTAGAGACTTATAATTACAATTCAAAGCTCTCTTTTTACTATCCTATCTACCAAATCATCGATATTTAAATCATCTCTTGACCTATATATACCTCTATCGCATCAATTTTATACTGCACCTTTAAAATTATTTTTCACTTAATAGTCCGATGTCCCATCACTATAAAAATGACAAGCCCATATACATAATTAAAAGAATAATTAAAACGTCCAAAAGAGTTCATGTTGATTGTGAGGGTAGAACATACACAAGGTTTTATAGAAAGTGCTATATATGTATAGGTTAACGATTTTTAACTGATCTTTTCCTTATGGGGACCGTTTTCCCATTTTCCCCTGGTTTAATTGGAATGTATTTAAGCAGAATAAGATCAAAAAACCATTTTAGTTCATGCAAGATATTTCACTTTCAGATGGGGTTTCTATATCTTTCTCGAGGGTGTATAGTTTTCTTACTAGTGTGTCAAATTTTTTGGCTTGCAATTGCAACAGTTCGTCATTTGTGGGCATCGAGTAAGGTGTTTCGAGTCTGAATCTATGCTTTCCATTTTTATCTAGAAATGGGGTGACGTTGTCGAATTCTTCTTCTTCCCAGCTCAGAGTATACTCTGTGCTATAGCAATCTGATTCCCATATTCCTTCACTAATTTCGAATATTGGGACGTTTTCTATCCAGTTATTTACTTTTTCTTTGTGTGGCATATTACTTGCTGTCCTTGGATTAAAGAATGGTGGGAAACACTGTCCATTACTGATGGGATAATGAGAAGAATGTCTCTCTTTATTAGAGATGTTGTTTGTAGTTCCACTTTTATTATTAGTATTATTATTGTTACTATTGTTATTGTTATTGTTATTGTTATTATTATTACTATTATTATTGTTAGTGGTAGTATTGCTGTTATTGTTGTTTGTAGTCGTATAATCTTGCATGGAATATCCCGAATAAGTTGCATGGAATGGGATAAAATTATTTGCATAAATTGGACTTAATAAGGGAGCATTCGAGTAGTTCATCAATGTGTATTGGGGCATAAGAGAATCTGAGTTCTGAGAGTAAAGCCTATACGAATGCTGCAGCGGACCATTGCCGTTGCAACAAGGCCCTCCACCAGTGACATATGAATACAATTCGTTAGTAGTATTGATTTGGACATTTTTAGAAGTATCGATAATCCTTGCAGAGAGAAAATTGATCATTGAATTCAAGATAGGTTTATTATTTTCTTCAACCACTTCCATAAGAGGCCCTCCCCCTCCTCCTCCGCCGCCGCCTCCTCCACCACCACCACCACTACCGCAGTTATCATATTTTCTGGACTTCTTGTATTTGCTTGTAACATTAGGTCTGTCTTTATCTTCAAAAGAATGACTGGCGTTAACTAGGAGGTCTTGATTCACTCTGACATTCAATGGTTCCATATTTTCTATCGTCTTCTTGTATGGCATCGGGTTCCTTTAATTTCGACTCGAAGACTTGTGTATGTGTATGCGTATGCGTCACTCCCACAAGACTGGCCCACCTGTCTATTTCAACACACTGACAACAATCTCAAATGAAGTTATCGAATCTTACCTTATTGTGCGCCAGTAACGTCTATTTTTATAAATGTATTTATACAACCACTGACACCCGTTTTACAAACAGAAAGCCAAAATCCCCTCAAACACCTATCAAAGATGAAGGAAAGCTAGCCAAAGAGACAATAGCAATTTGTACAACTTATTAGATATTGATGCAATTACCATAACACACTATATAAACACAAAAAATCTAACCTTTTGCAACTGTGACACTACCACAGAACCTCGACAACACTAGCCACTAACATCACAACTCCCAACCAACCTCTTATTTACATTTCCAACAAGAGCAACCAAAGCTTGGACACTATTTCTCTATTTGAAATGGATCACTGTCGTTAGAGGCTCATTGGGTATTCCTACTGCTAGAGCATAAAAGATAGAGACACTTGACACTGATCCAATGAAGGAGCCAGTGGATGTATATATTCTAAAATAACTTGGATGACGTAGTAGGTGAGCGGTATTCCAAGGTTAGCTTCCACTTGACCTAATCCTCGATTGCAGAATCCCATTTCTTGTTGTTTAGACCTGGTCTGGTCTGGTCTTCTTGTTGTCGTACCACCAAAATTTGCATTGCAAGAGTCTGATATTCACAAAATGGCGCTAGCACAAATGGTGCGAAACCTTTCCAAAAAGAAAAAAAAGTTTTTCTCTTGACCATCGGGCACAGAGAAACATACGGACAACGGTCTTAAAATGACGCATTTCTTTTTCCTGGCGCCGCAATCTTATCATTTCGAACTGTAATCAAGTCAAAACCAAACCAGACCAAACCAAACGAAATGGATACAATACATACATGGAGATGGGATCAGAACGACCAGATTACTTGTAGGTTCTGGCAGTGTAGAGGCTATATGTATACCGTTTGATCTTGCCAACCAGTAGTTCCCATTTGCAATGTAGTGTCTCATTTTCAAGCATCACCCCTTCCCTCACTCCCTATCATCTCAATCATGTATGGCAAGCAGTTGGAACAAACAATGTGTCTGTCATCTGGAAAAGCAGCCACATCGGAACAACGGATCTATATTTAACTGGCTTCTATTCTTCGTCTGATATATCTTTTTCTTGTTTCCCACTCTTCATTGTCGACCTAGTCCAAACAGTTCCCGTCGTCGTCGTCACTCTCTGGAATCCTGGCTTCCACTTCCAGACGACAACACCCAACCTCATCCATCCCCCCTTCCTACCGCCTCTTCCTGCCAGCTTAACGGCGTCACAGCTACAGCTTGACTCGTCTCGGTTAGCCTATGGCTAGTATTACCTCTAATTCAGTTCCCAACTACTTCCTTTTCTTTTTCACTTCTTTTTTCCCTCTCTTTGTTCGACTCCCACACCTCTTGCTAACTGGTCCCATCTCGTCTTCTGTTTTTTCCCTGGCCAGTTTCCCAACTCACACCGTCCATAAACTTGACTTTTCCAGTCATATATAAACTCACTCTATTATCAATTTACACCAGATCCACCCATTCCACATACTCTCATCACGTCCATTGTCCATGCATACCATCTCATCCACTGACCATTCCACTGACTGAACCTTGGTTACTTGCTGTCCCAGCCTGCCTGCAAACGTTGTCCCTCGTCATTTTTTCCCAAAAATTTTTTTCTTTCATTCTTTATCTGAGAAAGTGCCGCACAACATACAAGAACGTCACTGATTTATTGAAATTCGCCTTTAATCTCTAGTCGATTTCGAAATATTTAAAAGCTTATTAACTCAGTTTCGAAATAATATTTCAAGAGTTTTCGAGTTATAAAGTGTCTCAAAGGTATATATCAAGCTTCTGAGACTTACAATACTGTTTAGTTTGGTAGCTGTTTGTTGCTAGTTATTTTTTCCTGGGTTAAAATTGGAAAAATTTTGGCATTGCCAATAAAAAGAGAGTATTTGTTAATTTTCTTTTTCACTATATATCTCTGCTGTGACAACACTCTTTTCAGAGAACTGCTATTAGAATCTGTGTTTTATATATTTGCATCTAGTGAAAGTAGGAATCCTCCTTTTATTCCCGTTAATCTAATTGATTAGTTCCATTCGTTTTTAGACAGACCACTGCATTCAAAGAGATTAAATTAATTTCTTTATATTATTTCTGTCCAATTAATTAAACTCATATACACCATGTCATCAGAATTGCTTTCTAATAAATTTGATGACGACCTGCTGTTCGAAACTGGCCATGCCAGTTCCACTGTTATAGACCAAACTGACAAAGTGTCACTATGTTCCAATAGCAAAGAGGGATCCCTCGATAAGGAGAAGAAGGAAATGTACACTGATGAACGTGAAATTCAACCCACCACTACAGCTACGGAATATGATGGTATACCTTCAATTAACCATCCGTTAGAGAAAAGAATCTTAAAGAAAATGGATATGTTCATTATTCCTCTTATGGGGTTGATGTACTTCCTGTCAAATTTAGATAAATCAAATATTGGTAATGCTGAAGTCGCAGGGTTGAGTGAAAGTTTACATTTAAAAGGTAAAGAATATAATACTTGTGTTACTGTATTCTTCGCTACTTATGTCCTTTTTGACCCTGTTGGTACAAACATTTTGAAGTTCTTAGGTCCAAAGGTTATGATGAGTTCATGCCTGCTTATATTTGGTGCAATCTCTCTAGGTTCTGCCTGGTGTAAAAATTATGGTCATTTATTGGCTGTAAGACTACTATTAGGTTGTTTTGAAGGTATGATCTATCCTGCCATCAACATGTACCTATCCATCTGTTACAGAAGAGAACAATATGCCAAGAGATTTGCTTTTGTTTTCTCTGCTGCATGTTTGTCATCTTCATTTGGTGGGTTAATTGCTTATGGATGTTCCAAAATCAACGGGGCTTTGGCATCTTGGCAATACATTTTTATTGTAGAAGGTGCTATCTCAATTGGGTTCGTCCCATTCTTCTTCTTCGGTTTGAGTAAGAATTTGGAAGATAGTTGGTTCTTCAATAAGGAAGAAAGAGAATATGTTATTGAAAGATACGCTACAATGAATACTTTTAACCCAGATGAAAAATTTGAATGGTTCCAAGTCAGACTAGCTGTCAAAGATATTAAAACTTGGGTCAGTGCTGTCGCTCTATTCGGTATCGATTTAACCACTTTCGGTTTGACTGTCTTCTTGCCAATTATCGTCACATCCTTGGGTTTTTCCAATGTCAGAGCTCAATTGATGACAGTCCCTGTTTATTTCTTAACAGCTATTGTGTTCTTTATTTGTGCCAGATGGTCTGATCGTCTAAGATTAAGAAGTCCTTTCATTATCGGTGCTTGTATAACCACTTGTATTGGTTTATCAATTGTTTTAGGTTCAACTGTACATGCTGTAAGATATTTCGGTGTCTACATCTTATGTATGGGTATTTACGTCAATGCTGCTGTCAACTGTTTATGGTTAAGTGGTAACAACGGTAATTATTACAAGAGAGCCACTGCACTAGGTATCAACCTATTTTTGGGTTCTGGTTCTGGTTTAGTTTCTGGTCAAATCTTTTTAGCTCAAGACAAACCTCGTTATATTAAAGGTTTATCCTTATGTTTAGGTTTCCAAGTCCTATCGATAGTTATGACAATTATTCAATTTTTATTATACAAGCGTGAAAATGAAAAGAAACAAGCTATAATAGACCGTTGTAATGAACTAGGTGAGCCTATTCCATATGATGATAGATTAAGTGATTTGAATCCGGAATTCAAATACATGTACTAGTCAATGCTATTCACAACTGATACCACCTCTTTCGTTTAAAATTTGATGATTTTTTACTGAAGTTTTTTATAGAAAATAATAGAAGTTCTTTTTATATATATAGATATTTATTAATAAATTAAATGCCATTACGATTTACAGATCAATCGAAAAGAATCAAATCTTTGAAATTCAGTCCTTTTTTCTAGGAGCGAATTTACTTAACAATTTCTCCTTTAATTTTCTCAACTTATACTTTGGTCCAGAGGTAGCCTTTATACGATCAGCTTCTTCTATAGTTAGCAAACGTTTAACTAGTAAATTGAATAATGTACCAAAAATCAGGCCCATTACGGTCGATGACAAAATAATGACGTTATATGGCATACTGAAATCTGGAGTTGATAAAACCAATAACAATGTGGATGTTCTAATTTGATAATTAACAGGTTCAACAACAGTAATTACAGCCGATTCTACTTCGAAACCATGATTAGCATCTGGCGGATACTCTGCAAACTCTAATAGAGTCTTTTCAAATTGGTATGACACAACATATGTAGAGAATGCAGGGATAGTAATATCATATTCTAAATTTGTTGGTCTCTTTCTGTCTATAGCGGGTAGATAATGCATTGATGATAATAGTCTTCTTAGTTCTTCCTTTTCAACTGCTTCATCGCCTGTTTCAAGCTTCATGGTAGAGAGGAAGACCCTCATGAACCATGGAAGAGCTTCTAAATATTTAACTCTTACATCCTTGTTTGTAGGATTTCTGAAAACTGTACGCAAACCACCACGGTCATTCCCATAACTGATTAATGATCTACTTACAAATACAGGGACGTCGTCCGATTTAGAGATACTTGTTGTGTTGCTAGATTCAAAATAGATGTCATTCTTAGCATTATTTGTTAAATCAAAACAATTATTATCGGTTGCAAAATATTCACCATTTAATTCAATTAAAATATTCCAATCTTCACTGACATCGGCACATACTCTTGAAGGATGGTTTGAAATTAAATTAGAACCCTTTAATTGTCTACCGTATATTTTAGATATCAAATATGAAGTTTCAGTAGATTCTGATTTAGGGAAACAATGGAATGCATCATAAAATTTAGTTTCGTCACACCTTAAATTGTCACCAGATACAGGCTTTGGAATAGACATTTCGTTTCTTGACAAAGTGCTTGGAACATGTAATACAACATCAACATTTGCCTCCATATGGTCGTAACAAATATTAGAAGTAGCATCACAACGTGTACTTATATCAATAGACAAACTATGCCAATACGAATCAAAGACCTTATGACCATCTAACAATGTAGAAATACCAGATTTCCCCTTAGTTGGCAATAATTTGACAAAAGGAGTTAAATTTTCTGTGCAAACAGGTTCATTTGCCAGTGCTGCTCTTAATAGAAATAACTGTTTATTAGAATCGAACAAAGGTAATTCAAAATCATCGGCAATCGAAGTATGAGGGAAAGTAGTCTTTGAGCTATCAATAAAGTTTAAAGAGGCGCAAAAGATACCACCTAATAAATTGGCCAACTTTTTCCATTTCAAATAGGCATCCTCTTTAGAATCTGCTTCGATAACTGCCCATAACTCTACACCAGAACCACCTGCTTTGAACCCATCATGCGGCAGACGTCCCCAAGATTCAGCATCCCAGAACCCTCTGGTAAACCTAATCTGTAGCTTTCTAGCTGACGTTGTATGTAGAATAGAATTGAAGACCTTTGGAAACACTGTGTAATGACTATATTTATCGAAGTCAATTGATGAAACACCTGGGGTAAACTCTGTAGAATTCATTTCAAACATAAATGAACTCTGCAAAAAATTGTTTGGTAGTGGACGTAAAGTCAATTTCTCATCAAATTGATATGAAACATCTTCATTGACACCAATTGATTCATCCCAATGAATACTTGGTGTAGATACTACCGGTTCTTCAGAAGTTATCGATTTTTCAGAAGTTAATGATTCTGTTTCAGCTGAAGTTACAGATGATAACGATAGTGACTCGTCACGACTGAGACTCTCCACATCTAATCCAGAACTCTCAGATCTACCAACTTCAGAACCTTCATCTCTTGATACAATATTCTCTTCTTGAGTTCCAGTAGCTGAACTTATCACCAAAATCAGCAGCACAGCCAGAAGAGTCTCCAATTTCAATCTCAAACTGAACAATCTCATAACCAATACTTCAGAAACGAGCTGTCAACCACAATCCTGACAACGTTAACCTCTCAGGTCTTCCTTTCCAATGGTTTCAATACCTTTTCTGGTATGCTCCTTCTATAGTTCTTGATATATCTAATAGTTAACAAATTTCAATATCTGATATAAATTTCATTAAAAATCAAAGGTTTTGTTAACTATACAACCTTATAGAAGAGCTCATCTCGAGTAGAGCAGCATATGGAAGGTGTTTGAAGATATCTAGAAGAGTGAATTTGGTTATTTCAGGATGTCACATCGGCTAGGTGGAAGTTATTCTGTTCCAAATGAGTTAAGGCAGGAGTTACAGCAGTCTGCTGAAGTTGAAGGTTCAGATGAGTTAGCTACAGTTGAAAAAAGCAAGAGTATCTATGAGAAGGAGGACGTTTATCATCGAAAGAGACTAGATATTGTAGCTGGTAAGATCAATAGTGAGCAAGGCAAGATTAGGAAGCGTGACGTTGATGAAGAGGTGGTTAAACCGAAGAAGAAGTCGAGATGGGATGTTCAAACCTATGAAGTTCCTTCATTAGAAGCCTCTAAGGAGTTACATGAAAATGCAGAGGCTACCTCAATTCCAGATGTTGCAATTGCACAGAATTTAAGATACTTCAAGCCTTCTGATCGTAAATACTTTCCTGAGGTTTTGGAATTATCTAATAAAAAGGAAATGACTGTTGAAGAACTGAAAGAGAAATCTTTAATTGGACTTTTACTGCGTATTAAAAATGGGAATAGTGCCTCTAGAAAAGTTTCCATCCGTTCACTGAGTGATAAGGCTGAAGAGTTTGGTCCAAAACTTATCTTCGATAGAGTTCTACCAATTCTTCTCGACAAATCTTTAGAGGACCAAGAGAGACATTTAATGATTAAAGTCATAGATCGAGTACTATTTAAATTAGGCCATCTTGTAAGACCATACGTGACAAACATTCTCCAAGTTACATCCCCGTTATTGATTGATGAGGACCCAATAACAAGAGCTACGGGTAGAGATATTATATCGAACCTATCTAATGCTGCCGGGTTTGCAACAATGATTACCGCGATAAGACCAGATGTTGAAAATGATGATGAGTATATCCGTAATTTAGCATCGAGATCCCTGGCAGTGGTAGCCAAAACTGTTGGCATACCATTAATGATACCATTTATAAAAGCTGTCTGTCATTCCAAAAAATCTTGGAAGGCTCGTCATACTGCTTCAAAGATAATATTACAAATTGCAAATCTGGCGGGAATTGGAATTCTGCCTCATTTAGATGGGTTAGTAAATTGTATATCTGATGGTTTGAATGATGAACATATTCAAATTAGAACTAGCACTGCAAATGCTCTTTCATCTTTGGCACAAAATTCATACCCCTATGGGATTGATTCCTTCAGTGAAGTAATAGAACCGTTGTGGAAAGGTATACGATCACATAGAGGGAGGGTCCTTGCATCATTTTTGAAGTGTATGGGAAGCCTGATACCTCTCATGAACAATGATTATGCTGGATATTACACACAGGAAGTAATGAGAGTTGTTCAACGTGAATTTTCTTCTCCTGACGAGGACATGAAAAAGACAGTACTGGTAGTATTACAAAACTGTTGTAAGACCGAAGTTCTTACCCCAAAATACCTACGAGATACTGTTGCTCCAGAATTTTTCAAACATTTTTGGTTGAGAAGAACTGCCCTAGATAAACAACTTAACAAAGCAGTTACTTATACTACCGTTGTCCTGGGTGAAAAAATTGGATGTTCCTTTATTATTGAAAACCTAATGGGTCCACTAAATGATGAAGCTGAACCATTTCGTACCATGGCTGTCCATGCCATAAATAGAGTTGTCAAACAGTTGGGCACTGATGAATTAAACGAGAGACAAGAAACAAAACTGATAGATGGACTACTTATAGCATTTCAAGAACAGAAAAATAATGACACTGTTATATATAAAGGATTCGGTACTGTTGCCACTTCATTGAATACAAGAATGAAACCTTACCTATCACCTATTGTTAGTACTATACTTAATCAGTTAAAGCATAAGGCACAATATGTTCGTGAGAATGCTGCTGATTTATGCTCTATATTAGTTCCTGTAATCAAAAATTGTTCTGAAGACCAAATGCTAAATAAATTGAATGTCATTTTATATGAATCGCTAGGAGAAGTCTACCCTGATGTATTAGGATCTATAATTGGGGCCATACATCAAATTGTATTAACAATGAAACTAGATCTATTACAACCTCCTGTGAACCAAATTTTACCAACATTAACACCAATTCTGCGTAACACGCATAAGAAAGTTCAAGTTAACACCATCAATCTGGTAGGTCTAATCGCTCGTATTGGACCAGAATATGTACCCGCAAAAGAATGGATGAGAATATGTTTTGAGTTGTTGGAATTATTGAAAAGTACAAATAAATCAATTAGAAAGGCAGCTAATAGAACGTTTGGGTACATTGCCAAAGCTATTGGTCCTAATGATGTTCTTGTAGCATTATTAAATAACCTTAAAGTCCAGGAACGTCAATTACGTGTTTGTACAGCTGTTGCAATTGGTATAGTAGCTGATGTCTGTGGGGCATATACAGTTTTACCAGCTATTCTTAATGAGTATAAAACTCCCGAAACTAATGTGCAGAATGGTATACTTAAAGCGTTGGCGTTTATTCTGGAATATATAGGAGAAACATCTTCTGATTATATATATTTCATCGTTCCATTATTGGAAGATGCTCTAACAGATCGTGATTTGGTGCATAGACAAACAGCAGCTGATGCAATTAAACATTTAGCCTTATATTGTTCGCGTACTGGTAAAGAAGATGCATTTATTCACATATTGAATCTGTTAATGCCAAATATCTTCGAAACTTCTCCCCATGTTATTGTTCGTATTATAGATGCTTTAGAAGCCACTAGTTTAGCTATTGGTCCAGGGGTATTTATGAACTACGTGTGGGCTGGCCTTTTCCACCCAGCTAGAAATGTAAGAAAGTCGTTTTGGAAATTGTACAATAAGCTTTATATACAGCATGGGGATGCTCTTATCCCATATTATCCAAATGTTGCATCTTCTGAACTTGGCATTGAAGAACTTGACATTGTTCTATAAAATCTATATAAATATATTATGAGCTTAAAATAATAAGCATTATATAATGTAACATTAACTTTATTCGTTATTGGTTGTAGCGTTGAGAGACGATTCTGTACACGAAGTAGAGGTAGATGAAGATGATTCATCACTTCCTTCATTTTCTGATGCTTCTTGTTCTGAATCAGATGTTTCTTCACTACTTGATTCCTCTTGAATGACAATTTTTCTCTTTGGCTTTACAGTCCTTGTTGGAATATCAGAGAAGAATTCATCCAAGCTTTGCAACTTGTATTTCTTACCTTGGTTCGAAGTAAATGATCCTTTCGGAGTTCCTGGTGATTTTGGAACCTTGTAGGTTGTCGATTCTTCACCTTTTGATGACATTCTACCAGAACTGTAAGATGTAGAAGAAAAGCTTTTTTGATATCTAGAGTAATCTTTCAATTGAGCGGGTTCTCTTAATGCATTCGTATCCTTGACGTTTTCATTCCATGGTAATATATCTCTCGTCTGGAATTGTGAATCTTTTACTACATTTAATACGGCCTCATCCTGCGACAGTGACCTTTTACAATCTGACTGATTCTGTAATGCATGCTGAACTGTCGGTTTTGGTGCTTGGAATAGTAATTTTGCAATTTCATATTTACGTGTTTCAAAAATTGATGAAATAAATCTTGCTCTATCTCTAATATCAAATTCATCATCAAATTTAGATAGATAAATTACAGTATCATACATTTTCATAATTCTAGAATTTTGAATTGCATCTTCAATTGCATCTGTTGGTAGTTCATTTATTCCATCAATTTCATATGTAGCAAGCTTAGCTGACAACAACAGAGTTTGTAAACGAGTTTCAGGACCTTCTTTAGAAAATCTAGGTATCAACTGTAACAGAATATCAGGACAGATCCTAAATTCTATTGAAGCTAACTCACCAAATAGCCAAACAATTCCTGCACGAGCGTTATCAGCTAATGTTGGTTGAGTTCTTAAAATATTAGCCAATTTAATTGTGGCTCTCAAATGCTTTTGAGGATTTTTTTGAACTAATTTACGAATTATATTAATGATTGAATCTAACACTTCTCTTTGTAGCTTTTTTGATTCCATATGTTTGATTAACCATTCTAATATACGCGATTCTCTAGCTGTAGTATAAGCACAGCATTGTACTAATACATCACAAGCAACTGTAACCACGTTTGGGTTTGGATTATAAGCAATTTGGTATTTCATTTCACTGACTATTTCTTGAGTATTAAAAGCACAAATAATTGAAAGTGTCTTTAGTTTCATGATTGCAATTAATTCTTGATCAGAAGGTAACAAATAAAACTTGGTGATCAACACTGAAAACAACGATGGATCGCAAATTGCCAACGATACTATTTGCTCAAAAAGAGAACACTTGACACCAAAATTAGTTGAAGAAGTGGCAACATTCACTAACTTTTTTAACATACCCGTATTTTGTAATTCTCTTGGAGTAGATAATTGATAATAGGAATTGACGCACTCAGATATAACAGCTGGACTAGAGCTAAATATTAAATACTTCATATTATCAAAGAACAGTTCTAAGTCTGGATGATACAGAGTTTTATAATTTGATGGGTAATGTTTACCGCTAAAAAATTGTGATAATGGCATTTCACTTCCACCTGAAGTAGACAAGTCAACACAAACTGGCTGTGGAAGGAATTCCTTACTGTATCTTATAATTATTCTGATCAATATTGCTTGAGACCAGGGATCTAAATATCTTAACATTTCACAGAAGTATCTATAATGGCGATGCAATAATTCCAATCTATCAGGGAAGCACTCGTTGAAAAGTAAAATTGCTCCTGAAAGAACTTGAGGGTCTGAATCAGAAAGAAGGTCCTTCAGTAATATTAACACCTCCTCTTCGATTTCAACAGGTTTCTCCCTGTACAATTTCAATAATGCAAAACAGACTTCATTTCTGACAATTGGGGAGGAATCAGAAATTAGCTTCTTCAAAGTATGCAACAGGATAGGATATAAAGATGGGATCTTAATGTCTGACAAAGCTTTAATTGACAAGCTTCTAACTTTTGGATCAATATCTGTAACAAGTTTTTGAATAGAATTAACAGGTAGTAACGCTAGACTTGGTTCTCGTTCAGCAAATTTCAACAAATACACACAAACCATACTCTTAACTTTATAATCTTCAGAGACTATATTCTTGACTACATCTGCAAAATAAGCCTCAGGATCAATTGAATTATCACCTGAAGCCATCAATGATATAATTCTTTTCATACCATCCTTGACTTCAGTAGTGTACCTGGAATTCAACAACATCCTCAATTGTTCAGGAGTAATATTCTTCGAATACTGAGCATAATAGGACTCACCAAACTTTGATGAGGCCACTGCAGCAGCCTCCATTGTGATATCCTTTGCAGATTCTAGGGCACTTGCAATGCGACTAATTGAATCAACCATCTTTAATCCGTTCAGGTACCGTATCTCTTCGATTCAAATTTTAGGACTATAAACTTAATCAAAATGATAACCTAATCCTAATTACCACCACTACAGCTACCTAAGATCACTTGATTCTAACGGTATTCACAGCTTTATAATCCATTCAATTAAGTCTCTTGTTGAGTTATATAAATTTGATATAAATTTCAGGTGAAAAATTATTTAAAGGACTTAAATATTATAAACGGCAGATATCAAAGGAAGGATCAGCTTTAAATTGAGGATGATGAGAGGAAGTTGAGGTTTTATAGATACAATTTGAGTTGGATTAGGTATCAAGAGGTGTCATTGGTGTATTCTCAGTAGTTTCCCATTTTTTGGCAGGTCAAAAAATGAGTAAAATTGGATCAGTTACGGTAATGTCGACTAATAATGACAGTGATATGAGATTTGAATTATTGTCAACTATACGGTATGATCCCTTTGCCAGTATCTGGGAATCGAATTCTGGTGATGACAATGGATCTAGTGAGAGACCAAATACTAGTTATGTGTATTCTGGGAGTGAAGACGTTGAGGATCTGAAGAAATTGTTGGTTAAAGGTAAACTGAATTCAAATAATGATTCAATTGAAACGAAGATGGTTGATGTGTTCAGAAGACGATTCTTATTTTTGAGAGATCATTATGAGAGAACTACCAGGGCAATTTCTAAAATAGGTTGGAACATTCCATTGGATGAACATGATTTGTTGGAAAAATTAATATTGGCGTTGCCCACTGATCTTGAAACTGACGATATAGAAAAGAAAATGGAAATGTTACTAGATGGTTCGACATGTTATAAGATGAGACTTCTTGTCTCTAACGATGGAGCTGTCAAGATAGAGGCACATGAACTTTCGAAAATTGAAAAACCACCTACCGATCTCGTTGCCTATTTCGTGGAAACGATGCTAGATGGATTACTAGATGAACCTAAAAACTTATGGGATGTATTTGTGAATTCAAGACCTATATTTCCTTCTTTTTTCACTAGCTTTAAGACAACATATCGTAATCACTATACAGAGGCTAGAAATTTAATGCCTGTATTGTCCCAAGAGTATTACAAGTCAGAAACGAAACCCTCTAAAATGGAGATCTTGCTCTATAATGAAAATAACCAATTGATGGAGGGTTCCATAACGAATGCTGCGATCAAGAAGGAAACAGCCGATGGGAAGTTCATTTTCGTAACTCCTTCTTTGGAATCTGGATGTCTTGACGGGATAATGAGGAAGTTTCTCCTGAATGGAGGATTAATCGAAGAAGGATGCATCGATATCAATGACATCAAAGATGGCGATACCATCATTATTTTTAACGCAATAATGGGGTGTGTCAGAGGTACAATAAGAATTTTACAGTAAATTGATCATAAAGTGCTATATTAAAATAATAATGATGGATCTATATATATGCGATTCATATTAACTTTTATTTGTTAAACTATGCTTAGTACTAATTATAAAAGCTATTCAACCAATCATACTTCTCTTTCTACCACGTAATCTTACCTCTTGAAATCTATTAATCACCTCTTTAAGTTTTTTCTGGCCAAGCTTTCCATTATTCTCGTATACTGACGAAAATCCATTCATTAAACACTCATTGTATTTCTCGGCATATGATGAATGTGTACTTAATATAGCTCTCTCTAGCACATATAAATCAACACCCTTATCTTCAACCATGTTTGAAATTGAACCTAAACCGAAATCTATCAAGTGAGGAACCCAGGTATCACTACCTGGTTTCTCTCTCACTAGAATAATATTCGAACTTGTTAAATCACCATGGCAGTAGTCATTCCAATGCAATAGACCTATTTCTTGTCCAACTTTATATAAGGTTTCTAGGACAATTGGATCATATGGATCGTTCCCTCCTTTTGCATACATCCAAAGGAAATTCTTCAAATTACTGAAACCCATACCATTTGGTAAATTTTCCCCAAGGAATTCAAGCCATAGACATCCATTATAAGCATCACAAGCAATCAGATGTGGAACATGCAAACCTTCAATCTGATGTAATTTCCCCAGTAATCTTGCTTCACCTAAAGTACGACGTTTGGTCAACGACTTGTCAATCGACGGATGTCTATAACTCTTTGATGGCCTATACTTAATAATAAATTTGGCATCTTCAACACCAGAATAACTCTCCTTTGGTAAATACGGATGCACATTTGTAGTGAACACTACTGCTTCTGCACCTTGAGAAACTAATTGAATAGGCACATTGGGTGTCAAATATTCGGAGATCTGCGCAACTAACTGTTCAGACATACTATTAATATCACCTAAACCAGGGTTTATCAGCTTTAACAACCTGATCCATTAACAATTCAGTTCATTGAATCCATCATCTCATTAGGCATCAACTTTTTTCAATCGATTGTAGTATTAGAAATATTTCAGTTCCATTTGGTAGCGAATGTGAGATTTTTTTTTAATTAGCATTGAATGGTTGATCAAGACAAAAATAGGTTAGATAGCAGTCGAAATATATATATTGAATACGTAAAACGACCGACTTTGTAGCAATTTATGACATCAGCTAGTTATACAATTGAATGACGAACGTACCCCCTCCTTCTCCCGTTTATATTTTTGTTATATTACAATTAATCCTTAATAAAATTTAGAATTTCTTTGACACCATCTAGCTTTGACCATTTTGAGATATCTGAGGTTATTTTGAGTAGTGGTCTGATATGGCCACCTTTGACGTCTATATAAACGTTTTTTCCCTCTGAGAAGCTATTTTTTTTTAGTTCTGTAATCTTATCTATCAGAGATTTAATTTGCATTTGTAATATTTCATCATCACCATAGGTTATTAATAATTGACATTTTTCTACAATTCCATGCCAGACATCATATTCATAATTATATTCCACATTTAAAAATGGTTCTGTTAGATATTCATGAGCATATTCATTGTTTGGAGCATATAATTTCTTGCATAGATCTAAACCTTTAATTGATACAGAATCTAATTTGTCATCTTTCATAAATGTCTTCTCTTCTTCTGACAATATAGCTGGGTTAACCCATGGACTGACAGCGATGGCTTTTTTTGGGAGTACTTTACCACATTTTTGTAGGTATACCAACAGAGATAAAACCATGTTACCACCAGCAGACTCACCCATCAAGTATACCTTTTTACACCCTATCATTTCAGTGAAATACTTATACAATAAAATCGATTGTAGGTTTTGTAAAGGGTATGTAGTATTATGATTTAATGCATCAGTAACTGTGTAATCTGACATGACTATAGCCATCCTAGGATAGTATTGTCTTAAATTATTCAAAAATACCAGTGTAACAGGAATCAACTTCAAAGCAAACCCACCACCATGGAAGTACAGCAAAACGGGATCTACTTTTGGATCGAATTTTTCTGGCTTATAATACCATTCATAGTCACTCTTGATGATATGTTGGTTCAATAGTCTTTGATTGAATACTGATGTGTCTAGATCTATTAGATCACATTCTATCTGGTTCATCTCTGTCGTAGGAAACCCACTGAACTTCCTATAAACACCAGATAGAAAATCTAACAATGGATTGATAACTCCATTACAACTATATTTATCAGCCAACAGGAAAGATTCTCTCATAAAGATTCTTCCAAGCATATCACCATCTAACTTTCTTTTGTTAAATACTACTATACCTATGCTTCGCAACACCTGCTTAATCGGTAAAACAAATATAATCTTGAAGAGGAACCAAAGTCCCCTCAAGTTCATCTTAGTAGCTTTCTTAACACTTGATCTCATCGTTGGTTTACTCTATTTATATATCCTCCAAATCTTCTGGGACCTTTAAATATCTTCTCTTTTATATATCCAATTTCTTCACGGGTCCCATACTTAAGAGGTGATGACCTTGGAGAGAATGATAAATTATGTAAAACCTTAAACGACATTAGTCGGTTATTAGAATATGAAGTTTATTTTTGAAAGGAGTTAGCCAGTTAAATATGTAATTATTCTTTATAGTTTATTCTTTTACTTTAATTTATATAAGATCAAGAAGTGAGTTAAATAAAGGCGACCACCTTCAATACCAAAAACTTGATAAATTAAAACTTTTAAAATTCAATTATATAAGTATTAGTAATGTTGTATGCATTCTAAAATAGTTCATTTCTCTTGTTGACCACCATATTTCTTTCTCCAGCTGTCTATTTGCTTTTCATCTATACGTTGGAATAAGTATTCTGCTTTGTTAATGTTGTGACCACCTTGGATCGCCAAGTTAAATTTATCATCGATTCTTAATTGTGGGACGTTCAACATTCTGTAGATTGCCTCTGAAGTTTCTGGCATATATGGATAGATTATTGAAGCAACAGTGTAAACCATGTTTAAGGCAACACCGACAACAGCATCGGATTTATCTGGATTTTGGGAGAACAAGGTGTTGTCCAATTTGTTTTCTTGTAAGAATTGATTACCACGAGCACTCAAGGACATGGCTAATTCCAAACCACGTCTTTCATGAGCTTGTTCCATCTCACTGATATAGTTGTTCAAGATCTTTTCGATATCAGAACATAAGCCACCGTAATTTTCCAATTTCTTTGGATCATAAGCTGGAACAACACCGTTGTACTTAGCATTGACAAACTTAATAATTCTGTTAACAAAGTTACCCAAGTTAGCCAATAACTCACTGTTGTTTCTAGCAACGAAATCGTCCCATGAGAAATGAGAATCACTGGATTCTGGTCTAACAGAGGCCAAATAGTATCTCCATACACTTGGTGAAACACCAGAATCTTGTGCATTGTTACCGAAGACACCAACACCTCTACTCTTTGAGAACTTACCACCTTCATATTGTAAATATTCAGTAGTATTCAAATGATGCAACATAGTCCATCCATCATCAGTACCAATTTCAGAACCTGGGAAAATAACGGTGTGGAATGGCACGTTGTCTTTACCCATGAATTGATATAGTTTGACATTATCTGGATTCTTCCACCATTTTTGCCATTCATTAGTGTAATTAGCGGTAATAGAAACGTAACCGATGGTGGCGTCGAACCAAACATACAAGACCTTTTCCTTATATTTGTCTAATGGAACTGGAGTACCCCAGACTAAGTCTCTGGTGATACAACGAGGATGTAGACCATCCTTCAACCAGGATTGAGTGATAGTTTTAGAGTTCTTTGACCAGTTACCTTCATCGGAGGCCTTTGCAACCCAGTCAGCAATGTTCTTTTCCAACTTATCTAAGGACAAGAAGATATGATCTGAGAATTTTGGTTCTGGAGTAGCATTGTCTAGTTTACAACGAGGGTTAATCAATTCGAATGCATCTAATAGACCACCACACTTGTCACATTGATCACCACGGGCATCTTCATAATGACATTTTGGACATTCACCTTCGACATATCTATCAGCCAAGAAGGAATTGTGTACAGGACAGTATAGTTGTTTCATAGACTGTTCTTCTAAGAAACCATTCTTGTTCAACTTCAAGAAAATATCTTGAGCGATTTCAGTTTGCTTTTCAGTAGTGGTTCTACCAAAATAATCGAAGTCAATTTGGAACCATTTATAGACTTGAGCATGGATTTCATGGTATTTATCACATAACTCACGAGGGGTGACACCTTCTTCTAAGGCCTTAGTTTCGGTAGCGGTACCATATTCATCAGTACCACAAATGAACAAAGTGTTGTAATTTCTAGTTTTACAATAACGAGAGAAGATATCAGCGGATAAAACACTACCGACAATGTTACCCAAATGTGGGACGTTGTTAACGTATGGTAACGCAGAAGTGATTAGAATGTTTCTTTCTCCATCTTTTGGTAAGATGTCACCTGTTGATTTTTCCACTGTCAAACCAGCTTGAACACGTTGTTCGCCGGTATGCTTAACGTTTGATAAATCACGAGGCATGAATTTAGCTAAACTTTCAACAGCTTTGGCAATCTTTGCAGGGAATGTAACTCCATTGAAATGAGATTGATTCAAGGCAAAAGCGTTAGCGAAAATGATAAGTTTAGTGGCATCCACAGGTTCGGCAACGAAATCAGAAGCAGAGGCCAAAGTAGCTGTCAAGGAATCTATTTGATCAATTGGCAAAGTATCTACACCATAGAACAAAGATTCAATTTTTTTCAACGAATCAAGATATTCTTTTGATTGAGAACCGACAAAGTCGTCCATTGCGTACCTTAAAATCGCATTGGCATCCACCAAATGGAAAGAACCGTTTGGACCCATCAACAAAGGACCTGTACTGTCATCGTCAACTGCTATTTTTAAATCACCGGTAGTATATTCCAAAGCTAGGGCTAACTTCAAATTGTTGGCAGTAGCCAAAAAACGAGAGTGTTTCTTCACTCTATCGAATGCTAATTGCAAAGACATAATTTGACGTGTCTGGAATTCCTCTTCACAAATATTAGAACCTGATATCTAGCCTCATCCACTGCCAACTTAGCAAAAATAAAATCTAAATCCATCATTTATATCCAAGTTCGAACATTGTCTTGGTTCTTAAAGGCTAGCTCTCTAGTTATGACTGCTTCAAATTTTTCAAAATCATGGAAGAATCGATATCATGAACTACGACACTGTGATGCCAATAGTCACGTGTGAAAAAAGGTGGCATGACCAGGATTGTGAGTATGTTAGTTTCAAGACAAAAGACATTGTGGTATACCTCTCTCTCTCGAACACTCCATATATACCATACTGGTCGCTGTTACAAAGGTGGACCAGTCGATGAAAGCTTGTACGCTGCCTATTTCCCACCCCCATTAGGTTCCCATTATCAGTTGAACATGCAGTGGATATATATATATATCTCAAATCACTAGAAACGAGCGCAAACTGCTGTACAATTTCAGTCCTTCTCTCTCGAACCTGTCTTGAGACCGTATGCTCCCGCAGTGTAGGACGGGTGTAGGTGGTCGATTGCTCTCAAATTTAACTTCCGTTTGTTCACTAAGCTACTCAGAATGTATACCCAGCCTAGATTCGAAATTTCTCGCACTGGAACAACTCTCTTTCTCACTATACCTTGCGTCTAACTTCCTGCTTCGCTCTGTCTATATACGGAAACACACGTATCTGCCTTTGACAGTTCTCTCGATCTGATGAAAAAACACCCACCAATCCTCCTCCCTCGACCCCCAGGCTCTACCTCTACCAAAGCTTTCGGGCAACTCTAATCCCAGAGACCTGGCATCCTCCATTTCTTCTGTTTCGACACTCGATCAAAACCTTCTCGACTGTCCCCCTCTGTTCCCCCTCCCACCCCCACATAACTGCATACTTATACTGCATTATAAACAGCAATTGCAGTTGCAGTTGCAACCAATCGAATCGAATCCAGTTCGGTGATCTTGCTACCGTTGCGTTTCATTTACTTTTCTGGGACATCCTGAGGTGCTGCAGCTGGTTCTCCACGAGATCTGGGGTAGTATTTTGCTACTTATCAACCTAACCAAACATCACAATAAACCCAAACTATAATCGACTTCTGTTTATCTGGTGCCAACATTTCACATATTTCTATATAAATGTAACAATATATTGTCCCACATACCTGCATAACCATATATATATATATATATATATATATCTAAATTTTGTTTAGCTCTGGGCTCCAGTATATGGCCAATATTTAAATACTGACATTGAACTATATACAGCAAGAACAAACATGCTACTTTCAGCAGGTCCAGCATCGCTGGAACAGTGCAAGTACGTTATAGATAAACATTTTTTACCTTTGGGTGACGGTCACTTCAGTGTTGTGAGACGTTGTAAGAATGTGTTCACCCAAGAGGTCTATGCTATGAAGATAGTTGACAAAGCTACCATTTCTAATAAAACTCAACTCATCAAGAGAGAAATTGCAGTGTTGCAGAAAATAGATAGGTTGATAAGGGCAAGTGAGTCCAATACTGCTACCATTGCTTCGGATGAAGGTAATGATGGTACTGGCGAGACTATTTTCTATGGTCATCATCATGTCTTGCAACTATTCGATTTCTTTGAGACACTTGAGAACATCATATTAATAACCCAACTGTGTAGTCCTATGGACCTTTACGAGAAGATTGTTGATAATAACGTTTTGAATTTGAAGAAACAGGTTATCCCATACACTGCTTGTATATTGAGTGCATTGGAATTTTTGCACAGTAATGGTTTGATACATAGAGATGTCAAAGCTGAAAATATTCTGTTCCGTAACTGTCATCGGGAAGATAGTAATATACCTTCCAGTTACGATCTAACAGCTCATGATATTATTTTGGCTGATTTTGGGCTGGCCAGTGAATCGACTGTGTCAGGCATCATTGATGACAACAATGACAAGAATCACGTCTTAAAGGAATATGTAGGGACAATATCCTATATATCCCCAGAGATCGTCAAATGCCAACATGTTTCATCAATGACTGACGAACAAACTGCACAATTAGAACCTTATAATACTCCTGTGGATATCTGGGCATTAGGAGTTCTTACATACTTTATGGTTTTTGGGTATACGCCATTTGACTGTGAGGGTGATGAGGAAACTCTGGATTGCATCAGAACATGCGATTATTATATCGATCAAGATAGAATAGACGATCCTAATTTAGTTGAGTTTTGGGATTTCCTGAGATGTTGTTTCCAGATGGACCCATGTGAGAGACCATCGGCAACTGAATTGAAATCGCATTCATTTTTGTCTTCATTCTTCTCTAATACAAAAACAGAGCTACAGAAGGAAAAAATGTCAAAGACTCCTATAAAATCCTACTCTTCCTCTTCGTTGCATTCGTTAAAGTTACCAACAAAAGCAATCTCAGGAACTACTCTCTCTTCTTTAACAACACTGGACTCTTTGTGTGTGAGAACTTCAAGCCTGTCGCTGGTCGATGGGAATAGCAGCAGTACATTGACTATTTCTTCAAAGCAACCATCTCTATGGTCAATGCATAATACCAAACAATTCAAAGCTATGAAGAAGACTCTGTCAATGACTACTATGAAACCTAGAAATGGGCCCAAGCCCCCAGTTGGTGGAATTAAAAAGTTTTCAACTTTTAAACTGGATCCAAATCCTCCACGTTATACTTTAATGAATGGTTGTTTGAGTACCAACCCCGAATCAAAGTCTGATTTCCACACTACCCCAAGATCTCTCTCAAGAGAGAGTTCGATCAATAGCATACTTTCGAATGAAAGCACCCACAAACTCGTAAACAACTTCACTTCCGCTGTCATCTCAAGATGTCAGCCATCCAGCAAGCCATTATTTGAAATGGGATATGATGAAGAAGATGACGATTCTTCGAATTAGTTCTTTGTTAGTCTTGATCTATGATAAATTGATTAATACACATGTTACATAGTCTATACATACATCATATATATGAATGATTTAATGAACTCCTTTTTGAATTTATATTTATGTTTATATTTATATATCATTATACAGGCATTGCATTTTTCATTATATTATTGACAAAGAAAGTAATGGTTGGAGGAAGAGTCTATATATATAAATTTTATTTTTATCTTCAGCGTAATCTATACAAGTTGATAACACAACGATTCTAAAACATTGAGATCGAGATGGGCATGACAACATCAAATGCTTCTCTTTGATAACAAACTCAAGAATTCTTCCCTTGTCTTATGAGCTCTAAAGGCACCCAACACACAGGAGGTGACAGTAGAGGAACCGGTCTTTTGGATACCTCTAGAAACCATGCACATATGGGTAGCCTCTATCACCACAGCGACACCGATTGGTTTCAGAATGTCTCTTAGAGCCATTGCAATCTGTTTAGTCAATCTCTCTTGGACTTGCAATCTTCTAGCATACATCTCTGCTAATCTGGCAAGCTTACTCAAACCCAAAACTTTCTTATTAGGAATATAACCAATATGCACTTTACCAAAGAATGGAACCAAATGGTGCTCACATAAAGAAAAAATCTCGATATCTCTAACTATAACCATTTCATCATGATCCTCTTCGAACAATGCATTCTTAATAACATCATCCATAATATTCGTTTGATAGCCCTTGGTGAAATAAAGCATGGCTTTAGCATACCTCTGAGGAGTATCTAAAAGGCCCTCTCTAGTGACATCTTCACCTAATTCCTCCAAGATCACCTTAACTGCATCTGCTATACGTCCAACCCTCTGTTTCTCTTGTTCTTCATCCTCATCAGCACGTACCCTCGACCCAAGACTTGGCCAAGAAAATCCATCTGCCTCCACTGGAGCAATCAACGTATATGGCTGGGAAGGTTTAGTCTTCAAAGGAGTCTCAGTCCTAGGAATAGACAAATCATTATCTTTAGACATCTTAAATTCCCAATTTCCAATTCTCAATTCTCAATTCTCAATTCCCAATTCCCAATTCTAACCTGGTAGCAGCAGCAGCAGCTCAACTTCTAAAATAAAACTTCACGATTGATCTAGCTGTCTGGGAACCGAACCAGAGTTCCAACAAGAACCTATCCCAAACCATCCCATACCTTTATATACATAACTTCTTCATAGTTCTGTTCAACCTTTGTCCTGGTCTTGGGTTAGCTTCTTCTCTCTCTCTCTGTCTCTTGTCGCAGGGTGAAAAATTTCGATGGTTTTGGTTATAGTGAGTAACAACGACCAGTGAACAGTGAACAGGTTCAGTCATGTACAGATGAGTTCTTCACGTGAAAGCACGTAACTAGATTGTGAAATGAAGTCAATAAAACGTTTATATTAATCTCGAATTGCAATACTCATCGATTCTGATCTGTGTTGTGATTCGATTTCTCTGGCCCTCGTATGCTCTTGATTTTGAATTCTCTGAAGCAAGAGAGACTGTGAGAAATTTGGCATTGGAACAAATTGGACCTGGGAACTGGGAATTGGGATACTCACACGTATCTACCGCTGGTTCACCAGAAAGGTGTGTCCACCAATGTCTAGTGGTGGGCAACCTAACAGAGCCAGATCTTGACACTTCCAAGCAAACTGGAAAAACCATCGTTTCCAACCTTCTCTGTCCTATATATATATATATATGTGCGTATATATATATATATAGGACAGAGAACAGTACAATTACAGTAAACTAAATGATATATAATGGCAACATCTCACATCTCGTCGTCGTTTGCCTGCTTCAAGAGTTCCACTTCCTGGCTTCTTGCCCAGTTTTTAACCTTAAATCTTACAACAAACTTCATTTACACACTTAGATAATCATTAAAGTATCACATCTCCACAACCTCCACCCTCCCCCCAACTTCTACTCCCCCATCCCACCACTTGCTATCCTCCCTCTCTCATCTCATCTCATCTCGTTTCTCTTATACTCTTCCATCAGCTGAAATAAAACGTTTGATATTAAAAGAACATGAACCTTTCAAGAAAGAAGTATGTTTGATTGTTTGATTTGGTAGAAGGTGGATGGTTAAGGACCAGTGTGGGTTTGATTCTTGTGATGTTGTGGTTATCTGAATCTCAAAGTATGTTATGTTATGTTTTTTTGTTTGATTGAATCTTCTTTGGGTTCGTTTTCATGAAGTTCATCTTTAACTGTTACGTGTGGCTACAATGAATACTAACTAGATCCATATTTAATGATATCTGACATCGTCAATGGTTTTCATTGATGGTGGACTGATTTGATTTGATGTGTTGTTGCAGAGTTTGGTGTCGCGTTCACCTTTGGTGGGGTATTATTCTTGATCTTTGGTGTTATGACATTCTTCGATCGTGCACTTTTAGCATTGGGTAATATCTTGTTTTTACTAGGGATTGTTTTGATCATTGGTCCTCAAAAGACCTATGTGTTCTTCTCTAGACCTGCTAAGAGACGAGGTTCGATCTTATTTTTATTGGGGATTATGATGATTTTGATGAAATGGACTTTTGTAGGCTTCATCGTCGAATTCGTCGGTATTATGGGTTTATTTGGCGATTTCTTTGGAATAATCGTACAGTTCCTAAGATCTCTACCACTTATTGGACCAATACTATCTCATCCTGCTGTTGCCCCAGTGGTGGATAGATTGGCTGGTATCCATACCTTACCTGTATGATACCATCCCATCATATGTGTTATTATTTTTATCTAGCCACCATTTTAAAAACAGAAAAACAAAATGCTGTGGTCTCTCCCTACCTGCCCTCATAATATTAAGTAATGATAGAATTTGAACAATAATCCAGTATCTTCCACGATATACATCAAAATTTAATTTATTTATTATACATTTATTTAATTAAGTATGCGAACCTAACAGTAGTACCGATTATTCTTCCAAATATGGAAGATTACAAGTTTAATGTATTAATATTTGTTTAGTTATTTGTATTTACAATGAAGTGTTTATTCTATCTACCAGATGTGATATATGCCATTATGCTAACAATGAATCCGCTAGATTCAATACCCCCCAATCATCACCGTATTGGCCAACAAGTTGGACTCCAACAGGCTCTCCTTCTTCAATTGGAATCGATATTGTTGGCAAACCAGCCAACGACATTGGCAACGTGAAAACATCGGTTATATACTCATTAACAGGTGAAGACAATCTGGATTCTTCAAGGGCTCTTGCCAACGTTTTTGGCTTATCTACAGAAGTTAGGCACACCAGCATATCAACGCCAGCATTGTTTCCTTTCGAATTCGTCAATACATTTGATTTCTTGAACACTTGGTCGAATTCGTTTACCATTTGGACCCTCAATCTCTGTGCCTTGATATAGTTATTCTTATATGAACCTGAACATAAGTTGTAATTTCCTAATATTATTCTTTCTTGGACTGATTTCCCAAAATATTGTCTGGTAGGTGCAAACAACGTGTTATCCACCAGATCGCTGTGTTCATCTCTTGTCCCATACCTCACACCATCGAATCGGGATAGATTAGAGGATGCTTCTGAAGGCACTAAAGTATAGTAAATAGGCAATGCATGTTTAACTGACGGTATTGAGACTGGAACTATCTCGTGACCCTTGGATTTCATATTCTCAATGAATGACAAATATTTATTTCTGATAGAAACTGGAACAGACTCTTGTACAAATTCCTTGGGTAACCCAATCCGTAACTTGCCGTTGCTATTACCTGTATCTTTAGGAAGAAGTTCTCTCAACTCTGTGCCCAAAGAGGTTGGGTCCTTCCTGTCGTGTTTGTCAAGAATCTTGAAGGCTTGTTTCACGATAGATATATCTTTCGACAGGATTCCAACTGTATCAAAAGATTGAGCGTAAGCTATGACACCATACCTGGAGATTCTACCATACGATGGCTTGAAACCTAATATAGATGTATACGCAGCTGGTAGCCTTACCGATCCACCTGTGTCTGTCCCCAAAGCAAAATCAACGACGCCTCCAGCTGCTGCTGCTGCTGACCCTGAAGAAGAACCACCTACCACGGTAGGCACGTCCGCAAATATGGGATTCGTTGTAGGACCAAAATATGAATGTATACCAGAAGAACCCATTCCAAATTCATCTAAGTTTGTCTTGCCTGCTATAACAGCACCTTCATTCTTTAGCAATTCTACCACTGTTGCATCAAATGGGGACTTGAAATCTTCCAAGATCTTCGAGGAACACGTAGTGGGCATATCCTTAGTAACAATATTATCCTTCACACCCACCAAAACGTTAGAAAGGCTCTTTGTACCTTGACTACCTTCTCTAACCAATTGTCCCGTTGCATCCTCATTAACAAACGTGAAGGCATTGAACTTCTTCTGAAGCTCAGGCAGAGCTCCTAGTCTCGCAATTGCCCTGGAATAAGACATTAATCCACACAAATGAATATATATTTATTCCTGATTTCAACCAGATCAATCTTCCAAGATCAATCAATCAATGACGGCAAGTTCTAATTTGTAGAGATGATAACCGGACCTGCAATTTTAACCAAAAGAAACCCAACTTAAACCTCAGAAATTCAACAACAACACATGCAACACTTGCAACACTTCAAATACTAGTTCCAGACCTTGTAGATGGCTAGATATACCTTCTCTTAAGCCCCATCTTGCTATTTAAAGGTATCCATCTTATCAATTTGATGGTTGGTCTTGCTATTATGTGCTCTTATATTATTGTTAACTATGACGTACACAATGATTGAATAATTTGATATACTTCACCTTATTTAAGAACCTTTAAAGTATATCAAAAGGTTGAGATGAGAACATAACCAACTTAATGATCAATTGGAAGGTGATAAGAGGGTTTATCAAAGAAGTAGAGCGCTGATTAGAGGTTTCCATTGAGTTATTTACTTGTTTCCCAGGATATTTTCTTTAGTTTTGAGCGTTGAAGGGTCAAATATTGAGATTCAAAAGTTTTGGAATTCTAAACAGGCATGCAGAATCGATGAGATTGATTCATGGATCTACGTTTCGAAGCATTTCATCAAGAGTTAATTGTGGTAATGCTACTCGGTGGTTGCTATTTAATGGTTCTAATTCAGTTGGCAGAGCTTCCGTAGTGTGCAGGACTCGGTATGGAGGGTTTAGTTTACAGAGACAGCAAGAAAGGTATAAGTATGATGAACCTAAGAAACCGTCAAAGGTAACGTCTTCAGTTTCAAACAAGGTTAATAAATTTGATTTTAAGTATATCACTGAAAAAGACAGGTTGATTGCTCAATCTAAGTCTAATTTTGAGAAATTGAGGATTAATATGAGATGGTTTTTAACCAAATCAACTACGCCATTGAACAAATATTATATTTTTTTAACAACATTCATTTCATGGTTATTTGTAAGTAATTTATTTTTGATATTGTTTGGAACAACTACTTTTGTATCGATTATCTTATTCCTTTTGAACACCGTGTCAGCCCAAGAATTTTTAACTACAAAAATTGGTTATTATATCACCAAGAATACATCACTATATGTTGTTTTTGAAAATGCTATGGTTCCAAATTGGGCTTCTGGTAATATTATAATGCATAAAGTTTTCATTTCAAGAAGACCTAAACTATCACAAAATTTTACAAAGGGTTCGCAAGAGGAAGCTGTTCAAAGAGCAGAATTGGCATTGCGTGAAAAGCAATTCTTGATTAATGATTTGAAATTCGACGATGGTAACTATACACAATTTGATTTGACTATTGATCAGTTAGAGTTTTCATTGAGCCTTTCAAATTGGTTGAATGGGAAGGGGATCGTGGATGAAGTGAAAATCAATGGGTTGAGAGGAGTTGTAGACAGAACTCATGTTGCTTGGAAACCTAAAGATAACCCTAGAAATTACCTTAATGTTCACAAGCCTGGAGATTTTGAAATTAATAAGTTTTCAATGAATGATGTACTGATTACATTGTATCAGCCCAGGAAATTTCGACCATTTCAAGTCAGCATACATAATTGTGAATTGCCGCAATTGAGGAAAAATTGGTTATTCTTTGATATTCTAAATGCGACATCAATGAGCGGTACATATGATAATTCGATGTTTACGATTCATAAGAAACTATTGAAAGAGAATGAAGAGCAACACGATGATAACAACTTACATTTCCACAAAAAAGAGAATATATGGCAAGCCAAGACAAGACTGCGAGTTGATAATTTAGATGTAGACCATTTGAATGCAGGAATAGACGGGCCATTTGGGTGGATTACTGAGGGTCAAGTTGATATGATTGGGGATATTCTATTACCCAACAATGATATCGACCCGATACAGATATTAACAGAGATCAGTGAACGATTATTAATCAAAGCCAAGGATTATTCATTATTATTCCCGATGATCAACAATTTGAACGACAATTCAAATCTGATAGAAAAACCGAAAGAAGAACCAAAAGGATTAGATCCAAATAACTATTTTATCATGGATTTTTTCTTAAAATTACATAACGTCAAGGCAGAAGTTCCACTCTTCACACAAGAACTAAGTTACATGAACAACGCGATAATCCGGCCAATAGTAGGCTATATCAACTCCAATCGTACATACATCCCGATCAAATGTAGAATTGTCAAAGACATTGCAGATTTCGATGGTTCCTGGACAATGTACGACTCATTATTAATGAACGATTTAAGTGCCCAAGTGTACGACGCATTCGCAGAATACGTAGCTGACGAAAGAAGAAGATCGGTAAGGCTACGAAGAGTAGGATTCTGGTCATTGCAACTAATACTTCAATTAATATTGATGAGTTTAGGAGCAATTGCTTGAACATTCGTCACTCCTGACTAAACAGAACCCTATCTGTTTCCCACAACCAAAAAATCCTGTAAATACAAATCCGACAAAACAAAATTATAGATTCAAAACAAAACTTGCATATACCCACTCCACCTACCCCCCATCTAACCTTATAGCCTCCAACAAGTCCTCAAACTATATATATATATACTCTTATATACCAACTATTACCTTAACTATATAAATTACTTACCTTATTAGGTACTCCCCCGGCTTAAGCACTATTAAAAGTAACAAATGTTAAAGTAAGAGATATATATCAAGAACAATACCATTAAGAATAGTCGAGTCAAGGAGGTCAAGGATTGGATTAGGTTACTATTTAGAGTGATATACTGGTATTTGTGAAGTTCTGTTGGATTGTGTGGTTTTAAGGATTGCTTTGTGGTTTTACGATAATGGTACGTCAACAGCATCCAACTTTACAGTCGATGGTTTCCTTTGGGGCTAGTTTTGTATTTGTGAAAGTATTTAAAGAGCTAATTGAAGGGTATCTTCCTGAGGAATGGATCCATGAAGTTAGGTATCTTGGTATTGATTGTGATGATTCTGCGGATAAGTTTTATACTGTTGAGGCTGTGGGTCTTAAGGATAGAGAGACGGTTGCTTTATTAGACAGAATTGATGATATAATACATTCCAGGAGCAATAAGGAAATAACAACAAGATTGACGTATAATAACAATAACAACATTAATAGTAATAATAATTATAATCACATCAGTGGTATTTGGTCTGATTTGTATGAGATGGATATGGTAAGTTTAATTCATAATTTAAAGAAATTTTATTTGAACATTGATATTAGGGTTTTGGTGGTGATTTTAATTTTACTTTTATTTGGACCTGTAGTATTGTCACTTTACCATGATTATAAGGGCAATGCAGCTGATGCTGCTGTTTTATCTCCTGGGACACCAGTGCTAAGAGTGGTACCTGATGATAAAGTGGATTTAAAACTGTCGAATATGAATTGTGCAGGTTCCTCCAGTGATGAAGAGAATAGTGGAAGTAGTTTACAGAAACTGGATAAGTTTACAGGTGAGACATTCCCTAAGGATACTGAAACGATAAACACGAGCATAATGGAGGATTTGAAACTTCAATACATTTCCTCCTCAGAAACTGGGATTGTAATTGAGGATGATGAAAGTGGTGATATAAAATCTCAATCTGGATCACCATTAATCATATACGGGAGCGATTCTATCGTTCCAACAGCAAGAGAAGAAGAACACCTGGATCAGGAACGAGCTCAGGACCAAGAGCAAGAACAAGAACAAGAGCAAGAGCAAAAGGACGTGCCAGAGCAGACAAATGAAATTGAAATCAATATAACTAATCTCCCAGAACCAGATTCTAAAATCGAAATTCAAACAATAAAACCGGTTGTTTCTTCTCCCCAAAAACAACAAGAAAAGGAAAATGAAAATGAAAACGAACAACAAGATAACGAATCTGAATTGGCTGCATCCTTCACATCAAGCAAATTGAAAAGTAGCTCAAGAAGAATATCTACAATTAATCCAACTCATCATATTCAAATCTCACCAACTAAAACAATCAAATTGGACGCTCAAGTGAATACTGAACAAGCTTATTCACAACCTTTCACATACTAATGAATCATTCATTGATCAAAGTCAAATTTCATAATAACAGCACCATAGAATCTCTTCAGATATCAATTGATCCATTCTATCCAACTTCATCTATTAAAATAGGGTCCCCCTATCGTCACATTATCATTAATAGGCTGCTTCTGACACTTTGCCAATATCAAGTCATCGGTATTGTTATCACTATCTACGAACTTAAAATTTTTAAAGCTCATCTCAAGATTTAACCTTCTTTTATAATGAAACCAAGGTATTAAAGAAGTAATTAGTTCAAATAGCACTTGTATCTGGTTCCTTTGCTGGCTAATTATCAGGGGAATAGCTTCTTTAAGTTGGTATTGATATAGGTTTCGTTGGAAGTTTGGTATTACAAGGAAAGCTTTGGCCAGTTCAGTCTTTTTTTTTCCATTTGGAGAAGTTGTAATAGAAAGGATTTAAAATTGCAAAGACACTTTAGTAAGATATTGAAACTACTAAATTCAATTACGTATTATACATATAACACTTAAATATCGTCAAGAAATAAAGAACAGTATTGATAACGAAAAATATAAAGTAGGCGAAACTATATATATAGAAGAAGTTATTTTGGGTTTTGAATACGTTAGATATGGACGCTAATATTTTATTGCAGTGCTTTGCAGGTACATTGAACCATGATCTCAAGATTAGAACAGATGCAGAAGCTCATTTGAAACAAGCCAGTGCAACTCCTGGGTTTCTAGGTGCTTGTTTGGATATTATAGCCTCTAATGAAGTGCCAGAAAATGTAAAAATGTCAGCTACATTATATTTTAAAAATAAGATTGTGTATGCTTGGAATGCTCAGCAAACTGATAAATTGGATTCTCATATTGTCGATAATGATGAGAAACCTGTTGTCAGAGATATGTTGATTCAAACAATGTTAAGTTGTTCTAAGCATTCTCCAAACTGTTTAAGGATGATAAAACCAGCTTTAAGCATTATCGTCCATGATCAATATTCTAGCAAAAAATGGGATGATCTATTACCAAAATGTTTAGAGCTATTGTCAAGTAATGACTACGACATGGCTTATGTAGGTTTGTTGTGTTTATTGGAAATTTTTAGAACCTATAGATGGAAGGAAAATGATGCTAGACAAGAATTAGAAACTCTGATCTTGGAGTATTTCCCAAGTTTATTACAGTTCGCTGATAGCATCTTGTATGCTAATGGTGCGAACATGGATAATGATAAATTTGGTGACATGACTAAATTGATCTTAAAAATTTATAAACTTGTCACTTATTATGATATGCCATTCACTTTACAACGTCCAGAATCTTTTATTCCTTGGGCTAATTTCTTTGTTACTATCATTCAACAGCCTTTATCTGAAAGAATTCTTTCCATTGGTGATGCTGATTTGAAAAGTAAAAATCCATGGGTTAAATGTAAGAAAACTGCATATGCTAATTTGTACAGATTGTTCCAAAGATATGCATCAGTTACTTTAACTAGAAAATTTCAATATGATGAATTTAGGCAAACTTATGTTGAAGAGTTCATTCCACAATTTTTGCAATTGGTATTCCAACAAATAGAGCAATGGGGGAGTGGAAATCTATGGATCAGTGATGTATGCCTACAATACATGTTGAATTTCATCGAACAGACAGTAGTTCAAAAACAAACTTGGCCGCTTGTCAAAATGCATTACTCAACGATTTTACAACATGTTATATTTCCATTGTTATGTCCAAATGAAGAAACTTTGGAAACATTTGATAATGATCCACAAGAATACATTCATAGAAATTTAGAATTATGGGAAGATAGTCACTTTCCAGATTTGGCTGCAATTTCATTACTAACAACTGCCGTCACTAAACGTACAAAATTTGCTCTTCAACCAACATTGGAATTCACTTTACAAACTTTACAGGCAAACTTTACTGATATAAATCAAATGCCTTTTGAAAATGCTGTTAAGATAGAATCAAGTTTAAGAATCTTTTCAAGTATTTTAGATAGATTGGTATCTAAAAGTTCTCCATACGCATCAGAAATAGAAGGATTTTTAAGAGCTTTTGTATTGCCATTATTTAAATCACCATATGGTTTCCTAAGAACCCGTGTTTGTGAAATTTGTTCAAAATTAGATGGTATTAAGTTTAATGAACCTACTTTTATTCCTCAAATATATGAAGGTATCATGTCATGTTTAAACGAAGAATCAGACTGTCTTCCTGTTAGATTATTAGCTGCTTTGGCAATGCAAGCGTTTATTCACGACGAAGAATTTCAAAAATTATTGGCTTCAGTTGTTGTTCCAACTATGCAAAAATTATTGGCCATTGCAAACGAATTTGAATCGGACGCTATTTCAGGTGTTATGCAGGATTTTGTTGAAATTTTTGCTGAGCAACTACAACCATTTGGTATTGAGTTGATGAATTCTTTAGTTTCTCAATTTTTAAAATTAGCAATTGATTTAAATGACGCTGCAAATATTGATCCAAGTACTTTAATGAATGCCGATGATATTCCTGATGAGAACGATAAACAGATGGCTGCTTTAGGGATCTTATCAACAGTTATCTCCATTTTATTGTCTTTTGAAAACTCTCAAGATATTATCAGAAGCTTGGAACAATCTTATCACCCAGCAGCAGAATTCATCTTGAAAAATGATATGGATTTGTTTTACCGTGAAGCTTGTGAATTTGTTGAAAACTCTACATTCTTATTAAGATCTGTTAGTCCAATATCATGGAAGTTTTTGGAATTAATCGGTGAATGTAATAACAGTGAAGAAAGTATGATACCTCTGTATATTGAAGATTTTATGTTGGTCATTAATAACTATTTGTTATACGGTAAAGATGAATTGAAGAAAAATGAATTTTATTCGAAGATTTTATTCGAATTTTACAGAAAGGCAATGAATTCAAATGAAGACAATACGCTATTTGACATGCAAATTATCTTTGAACTTTCTCAAAAGCTAATTTTAGCACTAGAAGATAAATTGCCAGTTGCTTGGAAACAACAATTTTTGGAAGATGTCACGAACGCTATAATTATGGAAAAGGACAATTTGCAAAAGCAAGTTGCATTCGGTGTCACCTCGTTTAATGTCTTAATTTCCAGTTTGGTTACATCTCCTTTAGTTACTTTACAATTCCTGCAACATAAAAATCTTTTGGAATTATTTTTTGAGACATGGTTGACATTTTACGTTCCAAACTTGAAGAGAGTTTATGATATAAAGCTTTCTATAATGGCATTATTGAGCATTTTATGTAGATGCACTGCTGATGATTTTGCATCCTTGTCGTTACAAAATTTATTGCCAAAATTAGGTTCAATTTTAGTTGATTTGATGGTCAAATTCCCACATGCATTGAAAGCTTTGGAAGAAAAACGTAAAGAGTTTTCCAGTGACAACTTTAACTCTGACAATTTTGAAGAGTGGAATGACAACGTTGGTGATGAAGATGACGATGAAGATGGAGATGATGACATCGCTGCTTACATGGAGCAACTAAGAAGTGGTGAAGATGGATTAAAATTTATTAGTGAGGGTGGATTCGACAAGGAAAATTTTGATGATTTAGAGGAAGATCCGTTAGTTGGTTCTCTGTTAGATGAAATTAATGTTTATGAAGTGTTGAAGTCATCAGTAACTCATTTGCAACAGGGTTCAGGTGGGTCAATTTACGAAATCATTATCAACGGCATGTCTGAGGACTCCAAATCGGTCCTTCAACAACTTTTAGCTTTGTAAGCATACTCACCTTAATAATATGTGTTTGACTCAAGAAGCATTATATAGCATAGCAATATACAAATCTAAATACTAAATACATATGTGCATTTCCGATTGTTCAATTGGATGAACCTGATAGAAAAAATTATAAACATGTCAAAATAAAATGTGGAATATATGGAAGCAACTATCAAATTTCTATGCTTGTTTTGTTATTGTTTTGACTGATATTTTAGAAAATTCGACGAACCTGAATCAATGTTCCTAGTAATCGACTGTGACACACTGTAAAATAGTGCTGTCAGCGTATTCTCAAGCCTAGTTACATTGGTAAATAATAAGCTAAATTAACTCCATAAAATTATTAATTTACTTAGTTGTCAATAACTCGAATGTTGGTATTGAAATCAACTTTATCCTGGCCTTTTACTCTGACGCTCTGTTTTAAACCTTCTTTATCTTGATACGAAAAGACCTTGATAAAGCTTGAGAAGCAATGTAATAATATCGGATTAATTTATACAACTTTTTTTCCAGATAATTCTTCGAATTATTAATCCTCGAACATTCAGCTGTAATCGAACAGCTAGTATTCTATGTTATATATAGATGTTGGCCTCATCCTAATTCTTGTCACCTTCCAAACTCTTCAATTCTCTCGAGTGGTTCTGTTAATTTGCTAGTCATGTGATTTACGTATAAAAGAATATTAATTCACGTGATAATAATTGTCTGATCATGTGATATGTATTCACTTTTCTTTTTGCCAAATTTTTCAAAGCTCATCTCATCGAAAGAAAGTGAAAAATTACTATATAATAAGAGCAACAGCTGAGTTAAAAGAAGGTTATAAAATTGGATGATCAGATACCTTTAGTGATACATCAAGTTACAATCGAGTAATAATTGGTAATCCATTGATTGATGATGAGTTTTTCAACAGGAATTGTAGCTAGTTTTTCCCAAAATTGCACACAATTTGCTTTCCAATCTAATATAGCTCAAAAAAATTCTATCGACGTTTATCCATTAGATGAAGCTAATAACTATAAGATTAATAGTTCTTTAGTTAGTCACATTGATTATGAGAATAATGATTTGGATGTTTCTTCAATCTTATTTAGTGGATGGTGCAGTAATGGAATTGAACAAAATTTAACCAAGAGTAAAAGAAAGAGAGATGATCAAAATGGTGATATAAATATTCAATCAAGTGAAAGTTTTTTCGTCAATACTTTCACTGATGGAAAGATTGTTGTCTTCTCATCAAATGGTAAAAATATTGTTAATATTATTCAAAATAAATATGAAATTACACATACCGATACCGAAGATTCTTTCATTTGGATTTTAGACTCTGATAAAGCCGTAAAGAAATTTAATTTTAATCAAACTAAACCAGTTAAAACATTCCACCTAACTGATGGTAAAGATGAAGATATCACAGGTTTTCAAGTTTTGAAAACTAATGACAATGAACCATTATTAGCTATATCTACTTCAAATTTCTTCTATGTCATTGATCCATCAAAGAGAAGACCTACAACTTACTCTAAATTAGAAGTAGGGAATGCAGTATCAAGCTTTCTATTGCCAGATAATACTAAGATCATTATAGCTGATGAAAACTGTATCTCGTTATATGACTTGGAATCTACCTCAAAATTGAAGTCGTGGGAAGTTAAAGCTAAAAGACTGATTATAAGTGACACTTTGATTATCAGTTTAACTACAGATGGACTTATTTCCGTTGTCGATATGGATAAAAAAGATATTATCTGTAATGTTAATGCTCCTGATTCTAAAATTATAGAATTTTCTGTTGTAGGTGCCAATGTAATGTTGGCTTGGTTAAATGTTAATGAACCAAACTTTGACGTTATTTCCTTAAATAAAATTAAAAGTAAAAATACCATAGTCATAAACACAAATCAAGATATTAATAATTCATTGGTAACCGAGGAAACCAATACAAACAAATCAAAAGCATCAGACAAAGAGTCTGTCCCTCCTGAAAAGACTAAAGTTTCAAAAGCCAAACAAGATGAAATGATACAAGATTTATTGGAAAAGTTAGAAAACAATGCTCCCAAAGATGAAATTTTAGCTCAATTAGTATCCAGTAACTGGGTTGAAGATAGAATTAAAAACTTCATCGACAAATATTTGATATCACCAGAAGTAACCTCTCAGTTATGTGAAGTTATTGTATCTACCTTACAGAAAAATCCTTGGGTTAATGAAGACAGTCTGCTAATATGGTTGGAATGGATAATACTGTGGAGAGGCGCTCATTTGAACTCTTCAAAGGTCAAACATGTATCAAAGCAGATCAAGCAGTTGAAATCATCTTTGAGAAGTTCAGGGGAAACTCTACCAATGTTACTTTCCATGCAAGGTAGATTAGAAATGTTGAAAACCCAAGCTATATTAAGAAAAGAACTGGCGGAACTTAATATTGAAGATGAGTACAATAATGAATTCGAGACTATTGAACAAGGTGAAGGCCACGATGCTATGGTTGAAAATGAAGATTCACTGACCTATGCTAATGGGGAAAGTGATGCATTTTATGATGCATCTGCATTTTAAAAAGGACTAACTCTTTCTTCATATCTGCATAAATTAAATAGGACCATTTGATTTATTAATTATATAGAAGCTGCATATTATGCATATGTAATGTACGTATGTAAACATCGTATCTAAACCATGTATTCTTTGAACTTATTGAAGGCTAAATCCTCTAATTAAACTGGAATGTATTCAGATGATCAATTGAGCTGTGCTATTGCATAATGTAAAGATCTCGTAGTCTGGTCATTGAAACTTCAGGGTAAACACCCTCTAAACATACCAATTACTTATAACGGAATAAATGACACACCAACAGGAGTTATCATATTTTCGAATCGAAAATATTCATCTATTTCATAGATTCCTGCATATTAATCATCTGGTTTACTTGTTCGCGCATCATTTCTTTCAAGTCAGCAACGTCATTCTGAAGTTCTTCTACACATTCAGTTTTTTCTCCTAATAGTTGCAATGATACTTCTAGTTTAGACTCTAAGGTCGCTACGTTCTTTTCTAATTTCAGGTTTTCATCAGGAAGTTTGTTCAACTTATCATTTTCTTCTAATAATCTAACGATTTCATTATTAGATTTCATCTTTTCTTTCTGTAGTCTTTCATTTGTATCCTTTAAAGACAACATTTCTGTCTCCATTCTTCTTAATTCTGCACCCAACCTTGAAACCATATGAGAGTTTAACTGAGTATTTGAACTTTGGTTTTGGGTACTTGGTTTACGATATAATGACGGAAAGTTACTACTCGGAGTTAACGATTCTTTTCTACTTCTGATCTGTAGTTCAGAAGCTTCATCTGGCATATCGCTGATATTGAAAGAAAGATCGGTAGCTCGATCCATATGTTCTTGATCACTTGTGCTTAATGCTTCCATTTCATTAACACCTATTGTTTCGTTTGCATTTGAAGATGTTTCAATTTTATCATCTGGAATGCTGTAATTCATGTCAGAAACCAAACTATCATCTAATAATTGAGAGGCCGGACCAGATTCTAGCCATTTTTCTGTGATATTAAACGTTGAAGTTGAAATTGGGTGAACCAATTCTTGTGAACCAAAGCGGCCCTGCGTTAATAATGGGGAATCAATTCTATTTTCTAAATGGCCCCTTTGGATATCAAACTTCTTTTGTAATAATTTATAATCATCTTTGAGTTCTTGTAAGGAAGATTTAGTTACTGCCAGTTCATCTTCAAGAGTTGATCTAGTAGCCTTCTCATTTTCTAATTCTGTTATAGTGTGTTTTAATTCATTAGACAATTTAGAGGTTGTAGTTTCTTGCGTTTTGATTTTGTTCAATAGGTTTTTTCTTTCTTCTTTTATATCTGCTAATTGGGTTTGTAAGTCAGTGACTCTATTATTTAATGCATATTCAATACTCTGCCAGTTGGCTTTACTTGACTCAAATTGTTCCTGTATCAGCAAATATTGATCTTTAGTTGAAGCAGTTCCTGAACTGTTCTTTAAACTTTCATGAGAAATAGCTCTATCCAGACTTTTAGGAGGCGCACTACTATCATTATCTAGTTCAATTCTTAGCTGTTCAATTTTTGATTCCAAATTAGTAACCTGTTGATGACTTGAATATTTTAAGGCCTTGATTTCACGCTCATGGATAATTTTCTCTTCTTGAAGCTTTGCATTTAATTTTTCAATATTCAATTCTAATTGAATAATATTTTCTTCCTTTGTTATTAACTTGTTATTTGTATCATTATGCTTTTCAAGCTCTATCTCCGCTTCTTTTATTTTTTTGTCAGATTCAGTAAGTTTTAAAGTTATTGTGCTCAAACTTTCAGTCAATTCTGCGTGTGAATTGGATTTTTCAGCCAGAGCATCTTTTAGATCTTTGACTTCATATTCGAAGTGACCAATTTTTTTGTTTAAACTTTTTATTTTATCTAAGCTTTTCCTGTCTTCCTTGGCCAGATTTTCACCTTCAGTACGAAGTTGTTTAATTATATCATCCTTTTCTCGGATTAACTTTATAAAACTTGAACTATCAACTTCTTTTCTCTTTTCTAGTTCATATCTTCTCAATGTATCATTTAATTTTTTAAGCTCCATATCCTGTGAAACATAAACTGGACTCAACTTCTTTAAAATCTCATCGACGCTCAACTCCTGGAAATTATCAGGAAGAATGTTTGCCCATGGAAAAGCACTGGAGTCATTGTTCCTTACATCATTGTTAGATTGGATTGAAAGGGTCGAGTCTAAAGATATGTCACCATTTTCCTCTCTAGTGGTAACAGCAACTAAGCTTGGCTCTCTATTTTCGATTAAAGCCGGTGAATTTCTTCCACTACTCAGGTAATCTTGTGTCTTGTCATCAGTATATGTACTTGCTACAGTTTCAATATTATCAGTACTTTCATAAAAATGAGATGAGACAGATACTAACGAAGATTCTGTACTAAGGGTAGATTTCTTACCTTTCTTCTTACCCTTTTTAGCAGCAAGAGAAAGCCTTTCCTCTAAACTTAATTTTTTGGAAGCCATTCAAAGATCAAAATTAGTTATCTGTAATGACAAAGTATTCAATTATTTGGTCAATATGAAAAACAACCTTTGCAAAATAAATTTGAATTTGAGAATGTCTGTCGTGTTAAAAATATTATTATTACAATTAATCCTCAGATTCTCCCTCAAAAAGATAACAGGATAGTCAATTGGATAAGTACAAAGATATGCTATAGTCCGATATCCACGTAGGGTAGTTAATGGTCAACCTTCGACTATGATTTTAACGAATAGATATTGAAATTTTATACTTTCCCTATATTATTCCATGGTTCTAAAAAATCGATGTGTTCAAGAATTTCTATATCTTCGAGAATTTCAACGGTTTTTAAAGCTGGGTCATGTGATCATAAAGATTTCTTAAAAAATATATAATAAAACTAAAAAGAAAGCCCTGTAGGGGGCTCGAACCCCTAACCTTGTGATTAAGAGTCACACGCGCTACCGATTGCGCCAACAAGGCTTGTTTTTCTTGTTTGTTCTAGAAAAAAGTATGGACCCAATTCCCATGTATTATTTCAAGGTTACATCGTACGAACCTTGATAATGTCGGGATGTAATTCGTTACAATAAATGGTGTCATATTATCAATATTTGTCAGAATTATGAGGTAACACGTGATATATACGTATTACGACATTATTCATATAGGATAAAGAAATGTTACTTTACACGAAAGTGTTATTTCTGACGTTAAAACTTTTCCAACACTTTATATAAGAAATGACAAGATCTTAATTGACACTTGTCATGTTAATTATATTCCCATGTGTATATTATATACTTTAATACACCGGATCAATATCAACTTATTAAGAATGTCCTTGTGTTCAGATGTAAAAGTAATATCTGATTGATTCATTTTGGTGATTGATACAAGATGTTTTTAATATAATATTTATATTTATTTCTCCGTAGTGTCTTATAAATGTAACTAAATAAATATATATTAATATTTTAGATAAACAATATTTTAGATGTACCAAAATGTCATGCCTTTTTATATGTTTAGATCCAATCTCATAATCTTAATATTATTTATTTATGATAATAAATTATGATGCCTTTGCACTTCACTTCTTATGATATGATTTGGCAATTACTTAGAAGGTCGAGTATGACATTTGCGATCGAACAATTGCAACGTGTCATAACCTTTACTGTCATAACCTTTACTGCCATAACCTTTATTGCCATAACCTTTATTGCCATAACCTTGAAACCCATTAGTGTGAACCATACATTTTAGGTTACAACACCTTGGAAATAAATAAAGAATCTATTACTATGAACGATTCGGTAGAAAAACCACAACATAATTCTCTACAGTATCTTACTTTGTACATAAAAGATATATAGAAATTTATTATTATTAACAAGTATATTTACTTTAACCTACAGATCTCCACCCTTAAGATCCTATAGAATAAACGCCTACCAGCCTTCATTCTAACGTATACCAAATTCAATATACAATTAAATAATAATTAAAGGCCAAATAATACAAGCCAAGGAAAACAGTTTTTGGAATAGCTTTAGGTACCCGAATATTTTTGAAAACCAACGATTTTTATTTGGACCCTCTTTGGCCTAGTTGGCAGTGATTGACTTGATCAACGGGAGTTCGAAAATCGGATAGAACAATTATTATTCCTACGATTAAGAGACCTGTTTACAAATATTGGAAATTCTCGAAATTTCATACGCTACCAGGTGGGAAATTCGGTGGAATACAGCAGTTCTCTCTTCGTAAGAAGAGAGATTGTGTTACCCTTCGTAACACATTACCCGTGAGGGAACTATTAGGTGGAAACCTAGTTAGCTTTGTCGTCATAAGTGATCAACGTCTTTCCCCTCGATTTATTTTCGGCGGGCGAATGACGGATGGGAACGGCGATAGTTACAATGTTTGACGTATCACGTGATATTATCACAAGGTATGGTCTGTTGAGTGCAATCGTAGGACCCCGGTTGTTATCTACAACCGGTTGAACCCGATACCGATTACAGTAATTGTTCTATTTTTTTACCATTTTAGGCAAATCATGAGTACAGTCCGGGTAAATAGTAAGTAATTATGACAAATCTTGAGATTTGTCATAATTTGTCTTGTTTTGTCTTTAAATATGGAACCTTTAATATCATCCCTTTGTCCCAATATCAATTGGGACAAATTTTGAAGTTGCATTTTAATGATCTGATCAAATATTAAAATTCGATGAGATCAACGTCTTATTCTTCCTCTTCTTACTTGGATCTGATTCAATGGCAATTTTTAATCGAGGTAGAACATCTGTAACTTTGTATCTCATACAATATTTAAATTCGAATCGAATTATATCCTCTTTGAGTTTATAACGCTGCATACAGACTCCTCTCTAATTTAGACGGTATTAATTGAGGTATGATAATATGACAGAATTGGATGACAACAGCATTACAACAACCAATTCTGATGTTTCAAATGCTGTTGTATCTCCCAAAGGTACCTCTTCGAGTACAATCATTGGTGCACTTACTGCTGGTGGAAGATCAATGGTATACCAGATAACGTCATTCTATCTAAGAACTCCGGTGAAACTCTTTAAGCCTGCTAGATTCGAATACCATCATTATTTGAAAACTATATTGAATGGTGAAAAAACAGATAAACCTCAATACCCTAAGCAAAGGTACAAATCTTTAGTTCAAAATTCATCAATTGGAATTTTGACTCAGGCTTTGAATAAATACGGTTGGAAAGTAATCCCAGATAGGGTATTGCCTCCCTTATTAATAAATTCTGCAACTGGTGTAATATTATATTCCACTTATTTGAACACACTATCATATTTATCTTCTGTTGAACCTTCAAAGGATGTCGAACAAATATCTCATAATACAATCAACATATTTGCGTCTGGATGGCTAGCTGGTGCTGCACAAGCTCTAGTGTCCACTCCTTTCGATGCAATTTATACAAGGTCTACAACCGCTGAAATTTTTGAAAGTGTTCATAAATATAAGAACTTATGGAATTTTGGCCTAGAGAAATTGAAAGAGATTGGTTTGGTCGGTTGCTATAGTGGATTCACACTTGCTTTGATAAAGGAATCATTATCATATGCTATATATTTTACAACCTTTGAAGTTATGAAGGGCAATATATGTCAGAGGTTTGTAGTATTTTTGGAAAATTATAGAGGATTTAAATCCAAACTTAACAATTTAATTAGTTTCAAGGACGATACTTGTATTGACCAAAATACATTGGTATCTGATAGGGAGAAAAAATGGATCTCAAGAGCATTTATATTTGCTGGAGGTGTAACAGCAGCATTCTTCTTACAAGTTATACAATATCCTTTGACTAAAATTCAAAAAATACACTTTTCAAGGCTAGAAGCATTTGACATTTACAACAAATCATTATTAAAAAATCCAAACTCTTTTGAAAACTATTTCCAAAAAAGTACCAACTCCTTGATTAGAGGTAATAAGAATACTAAGTTGCCACATTTACCACCTTTTCGCATCTATCTGAATTCTTACATCGATACATTATTGCATATTCACTTCATTCATAAGAACACAAACGATCTTGTAAGGTGGTTATATAAAGGTTTCACAAGAAAAACATTAGCTGTTATTCCTGGCACTACCGCTGGTCTTTTATTACTAGATTATATGAAAACATCTCTGGAAAATGAACAAAGCAACAGTTAAGTATGATTCATTTGGTAAAAACCCATAATGATGAAGTGCTAATGGATATAAATATAATTATTCTCTACCGTTAATATTAATTATTGTAAATTAGTTTTTAATATTCCATTTGTAAATAGTTCAATCCAAATACTTCATCTATATGATTATGTATTATTTTATAAATTAATTAAATTATATTTGGATATGCAAATTTATTTTATTTTACGTGTACTCATTTTTAATTATAAATATAATCCGTCGATCAGCTAGCTTTTTGTCTCAATTTTGGCACATTCCTCTAAAAAGCTTTCAACTTTTTCATTTACTCCCTCTTCACTACCATGTCTCTTTGTCAATCCTGTTATTTGTTCACGGATTTCCTTAGATACCTTATTCTCAGTCAATAAGTATAAATATATCTTTGAAATTACCTGGAATACGTCATCCAAACTAATTTTCAGTTCTTCGTGTCCATCAAATTCCAGCAAAGGTAATAGACCATCATTCATTATTTCATCAAAAACTTCAACGTCAAAGTTACTTATTAATGAATCAGAAACCATTGATATTCCTAATGAGCTGAGAGCATATGACCTTATCTGTTGGCATGGGTTTAAACATTGATGAGCCAGCGCTTGTACTAATCCAAGCACTTCTTTCTTTGAAAAATATTTTGTATCGGATTTTTCTTGTAGAATATTTGAAGTCAGATTAATTGATTTCAATGACAACTCTACTGTGGATTGATATGGACTTTCTTTTACATTTTTAACTCCATCCTTAATCATTTTATCATATTCTTCTTCCCATTTACTACCAATTGCACCAACTGATGATAATTCATCCAACAAACCTAGCAGCCAGCTAAAATTATTTTCAGAGACTAAGTGAAACTCATTTTTAATAATATGATCCGTAAATTGAAAAATCTTTAGGGTATGATTATTTCCTACCACAATTTGCCTTAGAAGGGTCCAAAATCCTTCATTTTTTATAAGAGCTACTTTGTAATCTGGACTTTCAGTAAGAATTAAAATTCTATTTATTAATTCAATACCTTGTTGAGATTTGTAAAAGGACGATGTAAAAACTTCATTTTTCTTCAAAAGATCTTCGTCGAGTAGCTTCAACAATAAAGTTTCTTTACCTGGAACAGAAGTTAGCATTAAAAGTTGATAGCATACCAACCTTCTGAAACTATCCTTAGAAATGAAATCCATCATAATGAATGTATTTATTTTTTCAATAATCTCTCTTCCTAAATCTAGCTCATCCTGTATCTTCAAATAGCAAGAAATCGATGCTTCTAGAAGAAATAGTGCGTCAGCTTCGAAATATCTTGTATTAGAATCATTCTTTTCAATCTCAATTGCATTAAGTAAGAATTCAATTACACCTACATTCATAAATTGATCCTTGGAAAAAGTTGATTTTTGTATACTAATTGATTTAGCACACTCCAAGGCCTTTAGCGAAAAGTTAATTTCATCATCTGAGGGTTCATCATCACCTTTTAAATAGGATGCAAATGCTGATAAAATAGTTCTATTAATATTGTCTTTGTTAATTTCAGAATCGGATTTCGGCTTATTTATTGGGCCTAACTTTAACGCAGATTCTATATTTTCAAAAATAACTGGCTCTATTAATAAATTTTGGTATAATTTGATTATCATTTTAATAGTTATTGACCACAGTTCAATTGTAATATTATCATACTTGGTACTGAATTCTAACATTTTGAAGAATGATACTAAACACATCTGTCCTTTTTGATATTTACCCAATCTAACTGCTGTTTGACTGACTGGGATCGATGTATCTGTGCTTTCTACATGTATTTCTACTAAAGGCATATTAGGAACGTCCAGTAACGAATTATCTACATTAATCTCATCCAGGCCCAACAGAGTTGTTGTATTGGCTAATTTGATTAGGATATCATTATAGGTATTATTAAAGCCAAAAAATGACGATACAAATAAACACTTTTCAATGCAGGAAAGCATTATAGAGGATACATGAATATCGGTAGTTTCCAAAAATATCTGATAAAATGTCGAAACTAATGACTCGCCAATTGTTGAAAAAATAACCTCGTCAAACTGAGCTAAGTCAATTTTCGAGATCCCCTCAAGAATATTATATGATTTATCAGATATTTCAGTCATAACTGTTGTGGAGGAGATTAAATTGTTCCAAGCATCCTCAAACCACTTCTCACTGCCATGATGCTCTTCTGGCATCACAATTTCCTTATCCCTAATTGAACCATATATTTTATCCAGGTACCACGATGGAAAATCGTTGGAATTATTGCATCCTTTTAAGTTACCAGAATAATCTTCAAATGTCATATGTTCTTTAACTTGAGGGTTGTGCAGATCTGTATTTAGCATGATGATTGAATAACTTAGCACAAAAACGGAATCAGAATCTGGTTGTACCAATTCTTCGTCATCTTTTTTATTCAATTTTTGATTTTCATAATTCTGGTCTTTAACATATTTTGATGAAAAAGTCTCTATAATTCTTTCGATCTGTTGAGATTCACCTGGCAATCTAAATTTTGTCAACAAGATTCTGATTGCTTCATCAACTCTTAAATCATTAAAATCATATAAATCAATAAACTCCTCCAATAATTTTATCTCGTTTGGATCGCAAAGCAAGAGACCTATGGTCTTCTTATTCATTCTACTATTATTCTCGAATAAAAACTTTGCGATATCATTAGGCGAATCTGAGTGAATAAATCCTTTGTCTATCAATAATTTGATACCATTCTTTGGCTTAACATTAAATGATTCTGTACATGTTATAAAGGATGTTTTCCTTTCTCTTTGTTTTAATATTTCCAGCTTTTTAATAGTTTTCTTGAAGGTCCTTTTATCTAGTTTTCCCAAATGGGTATTGATTTCATCAATTAACATTATTAAACCTTCTAAACAAATGGAAGGTACATTACTAGATGTTTGTTGTACGGTTTCAGGTAACGATAGTTTTGTTAATGAATTTAATAATCTTAATGCTACATCTGACCTATCCAAGGTCCACAAATCAACTTAATGAATGCCGAAACAAAGAAAAGATGGGTGAACAAGTCCATAATATCGATATCTGTTCTATTATTATTTCTTTGATCATGGGTGATCTTGCTTTTGCATCGTTACTTTGATTTTTATCTCTATCAGATAAAACGTCAATAACCGAATTTAAAGTAAGTTCAGTCTGCATCTTCAAATGATTGCCTAATTTTATGTATAATGTGGTGAATAGTTCCAATGCTGATTGTAGAATAGTCATGCTACTTGAATTTTGTATTAGAAATAGAACACATTTGAAAATTGGATCTGATATATATGTGAAGAGACGAGGATGCAAAAGAAAACACTCTCCGGATATTTCAACTGCAACATTTATTAGACGGAGTGCAAAGGAAGTAGAATTTTTGTTATTCGATTCTTGCTTTTCTGGCAAAATCAATGATAATAATAAATTTAAATATTCTTTCATAACTGGTAACCCGTAATTCTCTTCGATTATATCAATGTCAATATCTTCATTTTTTTCATTTTTATCATTTTTTTCATTATCTTGACCGTTTTGTGAATCCGTAGTCTTATCAGTTATTTCACTATCTTCTTCAACTATACTCTGTTCATCTGAAGAATCATCCTTTACGTTTGAACCGATAGTATCGCTTTTCAACTCGTTTTGAGCGTATACTTCGTCATTTATATATACATGGTTTGATAATGAGGCTTCAATAGAATGCAATTTTGAAAAAATTATCATCGTGAAATTTATCATTGTAGATTCTGCTGCTTTTCTTAATACCTCAGCTCGCTTTGAATTACATGCCAGTGACATAACAATCTGCAATACATCATACACGATCGCATCAGTCAAAATATCCCCACCAGCAGATTCCATTACGAATTGTAAAATAAAGATGACTTTTAGCAACACAGTATCATCACTAACCTCTTTAGATCTTTCAAATCTACAATGTGTTAAAGCTCTAACAATATCTCTATTGGATTTGACAAACTCATCTGATTTCAAATCGTCACCGAGTAAGTTTAGATTCAGGAAACTTTGAATGGCATCAAGAGCCATTAATGTCACTAAACCTGGGATTGAACTCGTACTTATTATCAATAGGAAAGGTTCCAAAATTTCTGAAGCTTTTATATCTTTATTAGAATGACACGAATTTATCCTTTGTATCAACTGGTATAACTTCGAAAGAATCGGATCTCCAGAATCACTACTATTTCTTGTTAGGTAAGTGAACGGATCGACATTAGATTCTATTTGATCACTAAATATTTCACTTCCACCTCCAAGTATCACGGTCACACCTGATTGAACATTCCCCCTAACGTGTTTCCTAATAGAATTGGATAATCTAATACATTCTTTTGTAATTATCCCCGCGCACTCAACCACATTGAACCTCCTTGACTTCAACCTAATCATGGTATATATATAATATTATACTCCCAATTTCACCACCAAAGGGTTTCTCCTTCTCTTTCAGATCTATGGTATAAAGCTTAAATCAGAACTATGATGCTAAATAGAAGAAAAAAAATACAAAACAATTACTATTCCTCCTTCAAATAACCTTTCCAACTACAACTTTCTCCTTGGAATCAAAACTGAACACCTTCTACTTCCTATTGACTACACAATTGGACCTATAGCACCTTTATAGACAGCAAAAAGTCATCCAAAACATCAATACTCTTGTGAACAAAAGTTAGTTTTATATATTCTTCTTATTTGATGAGGTTTCGATTTCGAGATTTCTGAAAAATCACACGTAAAAAGAATCATTACCCGGATATATATAGCACGTGATGATAAATGATAATATGACGTGGTTATCACGTGATTTTGGCTTTTCTTTCTTTCCCAAAAAGGAAAAAAAAGAAATGTGAAAAATTACAATATATGTTTTAGCGATGAGCAGGCTTATAAGAACAAGACTGATTGATAAAAAGATCATGAATTTAGTTTGGTTTTAGTGTATACATTCCTAATTAATTGGATACTGATCACTTTGAGGATCTCAATCGATTAATTGGTTGGTTATTATTAGTTTTGGATTGACAGAACTTCTTTTTTGCCTTAATTATCTTTTTTTATTTTGAAGAAATACTGTCTAGGATGGAAGACACTTTAGTTTACTTGGATATTTCAATCGGTGAAGATAGAATTGGTAGAATCGTTTGCCAATTATTTGATGAAAAGGCACCAAAAGCTGTTAAAAACTTTATTAGCTTGTGTACTGGTGATGTTACTGTCGATGGTGTGGGTGAGCTAACCCTTAAGGGTAATATTTACCATAGAATTATTAGAAATTTTATGATTCAATGTGGTGATATCATTTATGGTAACGGTAAATTTGAAAAATCTTCGCAGATTGGTACTGGTGGTTGTTCTATTTATGCTACTGAACAAGAACTAGGTTCTGATGAAAACCAGCTGAAATGTTATGGTTTGTTTGAAGATGAAAATATGGGAGAATTTACTGAACCATTCCTTCTAGCAATGGCAAACACTGGTAATCCAAATTCCAACAGTTCGCAATTTTTTATTACTGTGGCCCCACAACCTCATTTAAATGGGAAACATACAATATTTGGTAAGGTTTTGTATGGTAAGCATGTTGTTCGTACAATTGAAAATTCACCGGTTGATTCAGATGGTTTCCCATCTTCTTGCGTTAAAATCGATGACTGTGGTATTTGGAATGATTCAATGGATGTTCCATTATATAACGCTTGTAATAACACTATTGGGGGTGATATTTATGAAGAAGACCCTAATGACGACATTAATTTCGACCCAGAGGATTCTTCAAAGGCATACGAAGCTACAAATACCATTAAAGAATCTGGAACTTTATTATTCAAACAGAAGGACTACCAGAATGCTTTATTAAAATATAAGAAATCTCTAAAATATGTTAATGAATTTATACCTGAAATGGAGGTTAATAAAGATAATTGTATTCTCTTCACTGTATTGAAAATGAAATTATATTTGAATATATCTTTGGTGTACTTTAATTTGAAAGATAATGATAACTGCATTACTTATACAACTTACTTACTAGATATGGAGAATGTGCCTGATTTAGATCAAGCAAAGGCATATTATAGAAGGGGAAATGCATATTTTGCTAAAAAAAGACTGGAAGAGGCTTTAAATGATTATAAAAACTGTCAATTGAAAAATCCTTCTGACAAGGTTATTAATGATAAGATAGACCTAGTAGAATCGCAGATTGAAGCCCAAAAGGAGAAAACTAAAAAGAATATTGCAAAATTCTTCAGTTAATTGTAAATATAAAAATATCGAATTATTTAAATAATGCATAAATTAATATTACCTCACATAAAATCATCAAGAAGATTTCTTGGTTTTGGTGGCTGCTTTGTGATCACCGATGGATTGTTATCATTGGACCTGATTTTAGATGATTCGGGTTGATTTTGCTCATTATCTGAGTTTGTTGTATCTTGATTACCTGAGAATTTGTTAGAATTCTCAGTTGCATTTGTTTGAATAGGAAAACTTTGAGAATCTGTCATAAAATCATCCAGCAAATTATTTACCTTAGGCTTCGGAGCAGTAAAGTCATCTAATAAGTTTTTAGGCTTAGGAATAGTAAAATCATCCAATAAGCTTTTAGGCTTATTTGGAACCTCATCTTGAGAAAATTCATCTAATAAGCTTCTAGGTTTACTATCGTTTATAGTACTACTAGATTTTGAAGCACTTAACGTTGGAGATGCAAATTCATCTAATAGATTATTCTGAGAATTGCTAGAAGACGGTAAATAACCTTCGAAAATATTTTTTGGTTCAGTTTCAGTCTCTTGAGTTATCGTTGTTTCTGTTCCTTTACTTTTTGCATCAAATATATCAAATAATGTCGGTCTTACTCTACTTGTAGTAACAGGTTCTGTAATCATGGTATCAATGCCAGAATATGCTTTTGATTTTTCTGGAGACCTAACAATCTTTTCAGGTTTTTTAGTGGTATCAATGAATTTCCAGTTTTTAACTAGTGATAATGCCAGATAATTACAACCCATTCTACGGTAAATTTCACATACTCTAAGAATCAATTCAAATTCTATCTTAGACTCAAGCTCTAATGCACCTAATAAGTACTGGATATTCCTTTTACGCAAATGATAGTACATTACTAGTAAAGCAGGGTCTTCTACCAGGAAGGACCTGTTTACACAATCTTCTTTTTTTACAACGTCAAAATTTTCTTCCAAATCTATAGGTGCAGTTACCAATGCACGGATTGCAACACCTTGTTTTCTTAATTTCCAATATATAAAACTAGTCATCCATCGATCATCTTCCTTGATAGCCTCTGGCAAAAATTGCCTTGTCAAAAATTCGCCCAGAATTGGACCGTTGTCACCTTCATATACTCTGCAAACACCAATTGCTAGGTCGTTATCATCTAATTGCTTAAATAGAACATTGATACAATCTTTTAAAGAATCTGCTAGCAGGAAGAAACATGCTGCATCCATGTAACGATGCTTACTCAATAATGCATAAGCATTCTTCAATGCAGCTGTTTTCCACCTTGGTTCGTCAAAATTATTACCCAAAAATTTCAGCATTTTTTGTTGCTCTGGATGGCCAGGACTCATTCTCCAAAGACTCATCAATATTTGTTTCTTCTTTAAAGCTAAATAAAAGATGGCACATTTTGTAGGGTCACGAGTATCTCCAGATGAAAATTCAAATTTAGCTACACTCTCAAATGTTTTTATTAGATCATCTTCTTTTGCCCAATATGTTAACTTGTACTCTCGTACCTTTTTCCAGGAATTTACGTGACTGCCTAAAGTAGAAATTAATATTTCTTTATTGTCTGAGTGTAATGCCCAGGATACATCTCTCATAACTAATGAACTTTGAGTAGCTTTATGCGAATGAAACAATTTCACTCCTAACAGGAATAATAGGCCATTATAATCTAAGAATGATTCATTTTTACTCATTTCTTCAACAGCTTCTACCACTGTCATTAATGTCATCTGTTGATGACGGGTTAAATACGGCAGAGTTGTTTTAGTCAATGATTCATTTAATAACGATGCAACATTACTATTGAATTCAGGGTAAGGATCCGCGAATTTATTTTCCTCCATGGCTCCTGTATGGCGCAATAAAAATTTATTCCAATTAACTTTCAAATCTGAAGGTAAATTTCTAATGTCATCAGACTTAAAGTTGATATTTCTGATCTCAAGGAATAATCTTAATAAAATCTCCTTTACCAATTGTAATTTATTACAATATAAGGACTGAATTATGAATTGAGGATGATAAACTGGTAGAGGACCATTTAAAACACTATTCAAATGCAATATATCATTCGATAAAATCTTTCTTGAACCAATCGAGTGGTGAACAAACGGATCACCCATGTCCAATGTCTTGTCTTTTATGTAAAATTGATTTCCTGATGCCACTACAAAAGTACCATCTTTCATCCATACGGAATCACCGATGTCATGGGCAGTATGCTCTGTGATATCAATCTTTTCTATCGGTAAATAACTTGGGGTATTATTAGTATAGTCATACCTTAATTGGGTGTATAGCAGTGCATATCCGGTAAAACCGATTGATACAATACTTTGACCAAATTGGGTACTAGTCCAATCTATGTCTTTGATTTCTTCATCAACCTTTTCTTCGTATTCTAAAACTCCCCTATTTAGATCCCAGAATGTTAATTGCTTGCCAGCAGAATCGACGATGCATAATTTGCCTGTAGATGAACCTCTAATATTCGAAGCGTTTTCAATACCTGAAGAAATATTGTGATCGAGAATCCACGAAATCGACTTTGATTTCGAATCTACAATTGCTTTGTAAGTCTTTACCACACCTTTCTTTGATATTAATGATATCAAGGGTCTATTACTAAAAAATCCAGAATGTACAGGATCAATTGTAGATATACGGTGAATATCACTGTTTTTTATATCAAGAGAATTGGATTTGACTTCTACAATACCTCCTTCTTCAGATACTTCAAATGCTTTGACAGTACCATCACTGTACATCAATGCAATAAAATGTCTCTTATGACTATGGATAGGTTCTGGTGTATTTAACATTAACACAGGATCTCCTAGATTTTCTGGTGACTTCAAAATATATTCACACATCATATATGCACTTTCAGTTTCGAGTTCTTTACATTTATTCGGACACCACCATGCTTGTATTTTTGAATTCTCTAATAAGGTTATGACAAGTTTACCTTTTTCGTGGACAACAGCTTGTTTCACTGGTGATTCAGTTGTGATTATATTTTTCATCCATAATGTTACACCCTTCGACAGTCTTTCAGGACACCAAACACAGTTTTCTGAAAACCTCGAAATGGTAAGAATTGCCTCACCGTCACTACTTCTGAACAATTTTTGAATTGACTTATTATGACCAGTGAAAATCTGTTCCACTACAGCGGTAGGTTGTATATCTTTGTCTATCAATTGGCTAATGTCTAAAGTCGAATGTTTTACAAAACCTTTCAAGTCATGTACTATAAATGATAAATTCATTTTGTCCTTATCATATATTTGTAAATCTGGGAAATAGAGAAATTCAGGATCGTTGTAAAAAGAAGATCTATTCAAGATCTTTGTAAACAATTTCTTTTGGGTCATTGGTTTTGGTGGAATCTGTGATAAGTTCTCTAAAGCATGGGTTTCGCATTCTCCGCTAGGAGTTGCAAATATCACCAAATCAGGAGCTTCGTCTGATCCGTTTGGATATATAGAACCTTCTGGGAAACATGAATTTAGAATTGAACTATCTACCACTGTGCAAAATCTTTGATCTGGACTCATAGTAACCGTCCCCCAATGTTGAACAATGCTTGCTACCTCCATATCGTGACAGGACCAAATACGTAACTTACCATCTGTAGACAATGTATATAATGTCTGTGTCATTGAATTGGAATTCGGATGCTCTGAATCAGAATTCACAAATAGTTTTTTCCACCTCATGGTTGTGATATATTCGGGATGAGGTAACAAAGATAAATGGAATATCACTTGATCACCGCTGATGGTATTTCTTTTCCATAGCTTAACAGAAGTATCAAATTTACCCATACTCGATACAAATTGAGAATCTTGTGAAATACTACACAAGTAAACCGGTTTGGGCTGCCTCTTATTCCAAAGTAAAATTGGCTTGTACTCGCCATATTCATCATGAATATTCCAAAAGGATAAATAATTTGAACCAAGGATAATATCATTACCAGAACCCCATTTTAAACTATTCACTTTCGATTCATCGTGATGTATCTTGCAACAGAGCACCCATTTAGGATTCTTCATTATCTGATGAATAGGCTTATATATATGAACTTGGTCTCCAAAAGCCACAGCAATAAACCCATTGGTTCCGTTGATGTCAACAGCAGTGCAATCACGGTCAATATAAACTGTCTGAAGTCTACTAAACTCGTTAGAAAGTATAATTAAATTGTTACCTGAACAATAAGCAAATATTATTCGATTCTGCCATAAGGTTTGACAAACTGACTGTAAAGTATCATTAGGACGTCCTGGAAGAAAATTCAAAGACATAATAAACCAAACATGCACACTCTAACTACAATAATCACTATCATACAACCACAACAGCAGTCCCTTCACAGTCTTTTTTAGTTATTCTTGCTATTTTGCTCAAGTTATTACTTTAAATATCAGAAGTTTTAATAAGGACCTTTAAAAGTTTCAATAATTTCAAAAAGTCATATCACTTCCTTTAACAATGGATCAAGAATAGTTGATGATTTAGATATAACCAAGGGTGCTAACGGAACTGATAGGTAAGTGTTGGTGTTTAATTGTTGTTATATTGCTGTTGTCAGAATTTGTTTGGGTTTTAAAGGTTAGAAATTGGTTTAGAGATGGGTGCTAGTTGTCATGATCAGAAGAAAGCGGTTGCTATATGCTTACAAAGGTCACCTTGTGTTATGATTCAACGTAATACTCCTCAGAAGTGTTTAGATGATCCTGAGTTAAATAAAGACCTTCCAGAGTTGTGTATAGCTCAGATGAAGGCCTTTTTGGAGTGCAAAAGAGGGATGGTAGATATGTCCAAGAGGTTCAGAGGTAATGGTGCTTTATCTACTGGTAGATATGATGAACAGTATGATAAATTGTGCAAAGGTGATTTTGATCCAAGAGAGGAAGTGCACAAGTTGGAATTGTTAAATAGTGTCCAAAAGGATTGATTAAGACGAAACGTGGTTTAGATTTGGGTTTCTCAGTGTTTTTTTTAGCATTGAACTCACATTAGGTTCCACTCTCAGAGTATATGACTTGGTATATAGGCTACATTCCAGAGAATCCTGTAAATAAAAGTATGGTTTTATCATTAAATAGACTCAAAGTGTTTTGTTACTTCATTATGTATTCTTTCTTATTTTTTGGTTATATACAGTTGATTAATAAGACTGGCTGATTTGGCTTCAGCTATAAGAAAGTTGGAAACTGAACAAAAATGACTTTAAGTATGTTCATAACTATCTTGATAATATATAATGCTCTAAATAATTTGGCAATTTTTCATAATTGGTGACACTTTTTAGTTGCAGCTGCAGTTGCAAGTTTTAATCACATCGCATCGATGAAAAAACCCTCAATAATGTTAACTTAAAAAGCATCTAGGGTAAAATGGATGTAATAAAGGTAGGTGGTATCACATCAGTCTAGACATTCCAGCTGGTACTAACAAGTTAGATAGTGGTTCGTCAGACCTGGTTATAAATTATGAGTGATTCTGAAGCTGATTTAAGTAGACTAGGTGTTAATATTTTATCGCAGAGCTCATTAGAACAAAGAATCGAATCAGATGCCTCATCGTTGATTAATAAACAACTTTTGGAACAAGAACTCAATCGATTAGATAGGGCCAATAATTCATTAGATAAATCACTGACTAAGAAGAGATTGCTAGAGAGAAAGCTTGCAAATACATCAAGAATATCTGTTAAACAAAGACTGCGAGAACAGATTGATGAAATTAATAAAAATGAACTTAATTCTATAAGAAGAGACATTAAAGATATAAAAGGAAGAATATCAGATGCTGAAATTAATATTTCTGGAACTTCAAGACCAAATTTACCACAAGGTAGAAAAGAAGGTGAATCCGAGCATGATTACTTGATTAGAACTGGTCAGATTACAGCATTTGGGTCTAAAACTGGATTTAAGTTGGAGAATGAAGAATCTGATTTGGAACACATATCAGATAATGACTTTAAGCTGGCTAATCAGCAGATGGTTGAAAATATCTCAGATAAATCTGATGGCGAATACGTTTTAGATGGTAATGAGGAAGATATAGATTTTATTGAAGATGAGTTTGAAACCAATGAAGATTTAGTGGAGATAAAATCACAGCCAGGAGAAACTAGAGACGATGGTGATGAGTTGGTATATCAAAAACGTTTAAAGAAGTGGATTCAACAACGATCATCTGATCGGAAAGTTGATAAATATCCGGACCTACCAGAATGGAGGAAACCACATCCTCATATTTCAGACGCTAAACTGAATGATGAATTTAGAATTCCAGGTGATATATATTCACTTTTATTCAATTACCAAAAGACTTGTGTTCAATGGCTTTACGAATTGAATCAGCAAAAATGTGGTGGTATCATTGGTGATGAAATGGGTCTGGGGAAAACAATACAAATCATAGCATACCTTGCCTCGTTACATCATTCAGGACTGTTAGACGGGCCAATTTTGATCGTTTGTCCGGCTACTGTAATGAAACAATGGTGCAATGAACTCCATCATTGGTGGCCGCCTCTGAGGACAGTAATTCTGCATGCAATGGGTGCTGGTATGTCAGCAAAGAAGAAAATTAGCGAAGAAGAGCTTGAGAATCTTATAATGACTTCAAATGCTGCTGATTTTTCATATGACGAATTTACTAGTTCTTCAAAAGTGAAGTCTCAGCTGGAATCATCGAGAAGCATTCAAGAATTAATCGACAAAGTTGTTAATGATGGACATGTAATTATCACAACATATGTAGGCTTAAGATTACACTCTGATAAGTTGTTGAAGGTTAATTGGTCATATGCAGTATTAGATGAAGGACATAAGATTAGGAATCCAGATTCAGAAATTTCATTAACTTGTAAAAAATTGCGTACTCGTAATCGTATCATTCTGTCTGGTACTCCAATTCAGAATAATTTAAATGAACTTTGGTCTCTATTTGATTTCATATTTCCTGGTAAATTAGGAACTCTGCCAGTTTTCCAACAGCAATTTGTAATGCCAATTAATATGGGTGGTTATGCAAATGCTACTAATATACAAGTTCAAACTGGTTACAAATGTGCCGTAGCACTTCGAGATTTGGTGTCACCTTATCTACTTCGTAGAATTAAAGCTGATGTCGCTAAAGACCTTCCAGATAAGAGAGAGATGGTATTGTTCTGTAAGCTAACTCAATTTCAAAGAAATAAATATATTGAATTTTTGAATTCTAAAGAATTGGGACAAATTCAAAATGGTAAAAGACAAGTTCTTTATGGTATAGACATTTTAAGAAAAATATGTAATCATCCAGATTTATTAGAAAAGGAGAATAGAACTTTGAATAAAGCCTATGGTGACCCAAAACGTTCAGGTAAAATGCAGGTTGTCAAACAACTGCTTTTATTATGGAAAAAGGAAGGTCATAAAACGTTACTATTTACGCAATCAAGACAGATGCTAGATGTTTTAGAAGACTTTATCAGCTTCAAAGATGAAGACTTAAAAGGATTCAAATATCTGAGAATGGATGGTACAACAAATATCTCACATAGACAATCTCTTGTAGACAAGTTTAATAATGAAAATTATGATGTCTTTTTGTTGACTACAAGAGTTGGTGGTCTTGGTGTAAATTTGACAGGTGCAGATAGAATTATAATCTTTGATCCTGATTGGAACCCGTCTACTGATATGCAAGCTCGTGAACGTGCATGGAGAATTGGGCAAAAGCGTGAAGTTTCTATATACAGATTGCTGATAACCGGTACGATTGAAGAGAAAATATATCATAGACAACTATTCAAGCAGTTTCTAACCAACAAGATTCTAACTGATCCTAAACAAAAGCGATTTTTTAAAATGAATGAACTTCACGATTTATTTAGCCTAGGAAGTGATTCTGGGTATGGTACAGACCAACTGAATGAAGAAGTTCAAAAACATACAGATGCATTGAAAAGTTCCCGAACTGAGGAGAGTGATGATTTTGAACAGGTCGTTAATATTGCCGGTGTCTCTAAATTGGAAAGTTTTTATAACGGGAAAGAAAAACTCGAAAAATCTAAAACTGAAGATGATAGATTAATGGAAGGCCTATTGGGTGATAATTTTGTAGAGTCAGCTAAATCGCATGAAGAAATGATAAATTCCCATGCAAAATCTTCATTTACAATTATCGAGAGAGAAGCTACCAAAGTTGCTAACCAAGCTATTAATGCATTAAAAGAATCCAGAAAAGCTACCAAAAAATACAAAGTTGGTACACCAACCTGGACAGGTAAATTTGGGAAGGCTGGGAAAATAATTAAACCAGTGCAATCTAAAAATAAATTCGGGAAACCTTCAATTGGATCGCAACAAATATTAGCCAATATTAAACAAACACAAAAAGAAGCTTCAATTCAATCAAAGATAAATGAACCTAAAGTTAAGTTCAATGAAGACCAGAATACAATTATCAAGATGGAATCATATCTGAAAGCCCAGCAAAATTGTTTTGCCTCTTCGAGCAGCATCATCGAGAACATTGGGATAAAATTAACAGAAAGAGATCAAATAATTAAAGTTAGAGCCCTATTGAAAACGATCGCAACCTTCAATTCTGAATTGAAGGGCTGGATACTGAAAGAAGAGTTTAGAGATAAATAGTAAGGCACATCTAATTCATATTGACGATTATACTCGATGTATCTAATGTCCCAGCTTTATATAATCATAATGTAGCTTCGCGAGAATGGAACGGCAAATGACAGAAATTAGGAATCATTGTAATAACGACACAAATTAAAGAGTGGATCAAAGTATTTAAGTATTAGTAAAAAGTTCAATGGAGGTTGGTTAGAAAATATGAATCTATTAGTACAATAATCTATTTTAATGTTGGGCTATTCTAGAGAAGGTAATTCTCTAAAGAGAGAGAACAGTTTGTAATAGCACACCAAATAAAATAAAAAAAATGGACTCGGGTATGAACAATGGGCAAACATCTGGTGTGAAAAGAAATAAGAATATTGTCTTTTGTTTCGATGGTACTAATGAAAATTTTGGTATCCAACCATTTACTAATGTGTTGAAGATATTTCAAATGTTAGATACCAGTGATGATAGTGTTCAATTATGTCACTATCAACCTGGGATCGGTACCTCGGCTGATTTTGATTATGTCGTTGATATTAGACGTCGTTTTACTATTTCATATTTAAGGAATACTTTGGATTCTATGTTTGCATTTGGATTAGATAAAAATATTAAATCCGCTTATCTTTTTTTGGTAAAGTATTATGAACCAGGAGATAAGATATACATGTTTGGATTTTCAAGAGGTGCTTTTATTGCAAGAGTCCTCGCTGGTATCTTGGAGCGTGTGGGTTTATTGAATAGAGGTTTGGAAAATTTAGTTGAAATGGCTTGGAAAATATATGAATGTTGGGAATATGCTGAACAACCAAGTGGTCCAAATTATACTACTACTCTGGTGGAAGAATTTAGAAAAGCATTTTGCAGAAATTACGTGGTAAGAGTTCATTTCCAAGGTTTATTTGATTCTGTTAATTCTGTAGGTATAATTCGTGATAGATTATTCCCTTGCACTCAACGTAGTAATATTGTTGATCATGTTAGACATGCCGTTTCCATAGATGAAAGAAGAGGTAAATTTAAGCAACAATGCTTTGCACCAAACCCTTGCTCTACAAAGTTTCCTTATAGTGAATACAATAACAACGTTCTGGATCTTGATGACAGTGAAAACTCGAGTCCTAATGAGAGTGAACATGATGAACCTCATTTAAGGTTACTTACGATTAACGATATATCTCCTAATTCCAGTTTGGGTTGTTGTAACAAAGATGCCAAAGTAAAAGAACTAGATGTAGGCATGGAGGAACCGTTACGCAGTAACTCTGATTTATTAACGAGAGTAACAAAATTCATTGAAGCTCATAATAGAAAAACTGTAAAAGGGATGTATTTTGCAAAGGTGTCAAACACCAATTCTCAAAAATGTAATCCTAATGATTACAATTCAATTGGAGACAGTTCAGAGACAAGTGCGACGGTCACTTCGGATTTGATTGAAAAGTGGTTTCCAGGCAACCATTCAGATACAGGCGGTGGTTGGGGAAATGATTGTTCAACCAGAGATTCAATTGGTAATTTGTCGCTCAGGTGGATATTATCGGAAGCTGTGATCCATGGTGTAAAATTTAAACCTAGAGCAATTCATGATTTTGCAGAAAGAAGTTCATCAGTAGGTTCATTATTTGCAGCAATTCATGATTCTCTTAAATTTTATGAAGATAAAGCGATTACTAGTAATTACAATGGAGATATCAGTCTGATTGCCTATAATACTTCGACACCAATAGCAGCATCGATACAAGAGAAAATAAAGAATGACCAAGAAAAAAAGAGTAGTCTTTCACTTACTGCTCAAGAAATGTTAAAAAATTTTTATTCAATTCAGTGTGGTCATATTAATAAACTTGTTGTTCTTCTGTGGTGGGTATTAGAGTTGATACCAATTGGAATTAGAGCTGAGAATAAGGATGGAAAATGGCGTAATGAATATGTGCCAAACCTTGGAAGAAATAGATATATTCCGAATTATGGAGATTTACATTGGTCGGTATTTTGGAGAATAAGGTTTTGTAATTACAGGCCTGCCAATATCCCACCGTATGCAAAACTTTTAGTAAGAGAATTTGAAGGCATTGACATGAAAGACTCTTTCCAGAAACAAAGTTTTATGCAATCATCTAATATTAAATCCTTTCCTGGAGGTGACCACATATGTGATGAAGAGGCACAATTATGTTTGGTTGAAGCAGAGGGGTCTGTTAATAATCGAAATGGATTGCCATCGAAAATGTCTTTAACCGGTCTAGCATATAATATGTTCAGAAAAACCAAAAAAAAAATGGCGAAATGGACTGAAGAAAACTGGCAAACTGTCCCTGATGAGTTGAAAGATATATTGGAAATGTATCCAGATATTTGAATATTCCTTTATGTGAAATGCTAATGTTACATATATAAAAGTTTCTATATAGAATATTTAAATGTAATAATAATAAGTTTTTTTTTTTACTTATTTAAATCCAAATCCTTCTGATTCGGAAATTGAATAAATTAGTCTTCGTTCAAGTTCTTCTTTCGATTTATAGTCCCATAAGCAAATTTCGTTGAAACAAGTATGTGCTGTTGGCAATGGTTCTTCCAGAAGACCATTTTCAACGTGATGTAAATTTGGCCCAACCCTAGCTATTTTAAATGGTAACGTTGATATACCTGTTGCTGGAATACGGTCTGATCCAGTTACAAATTGTAGCATTTTCTTTTGAAGTTTATGATCCCATCCTTGTAAAATTTCCCAAAACCATGATATCACTTGTGATTGATCGTTATATCCTCCGATATACTTTGTAACTGATCTCAACATCATTATATCAATAGAGTCTTGTTCGTTATCGCCGCATGCCAAACGCTCTAATTCTTCTGAATTAAATAATTTGGTACAATCACATTGTGAAAATACTTCGTGAAACCCTTTTTCAAATTGATTGTACTGTCTTTCGATGCTTTTGTTCATATAAAAATTAAACCATAACTTAATAAATTGGTTCTTATTTTCATTTGTCACTTGAATATTTTTACCACCCTCACACAATTCTACTGTAATTTTATTACGCTTTGGTTCACCGCTCCTGTCACCATTGTTTTCTATACTCAATTCGCTGCTTTCAAAAGTAGTTTCAAATGTTAAATCAAATACTTCACAAAAATCGTCTTCGTTGTATGCACATAATTTTAATAGATTTTTTGCGTTCTCTGGATAAAGTTCTGCATAATCTACAAAAGATAATGGCTCATGTATTAATTTTTTGTAGAAAGCTTTGGGAAATCTTAAATCAAGAATGGTACTGTTGAATATAGCAAGGCCCAAAATAACACCGAATAGATAGAATAGTTCATCATTTTGTTCATCAAAGTCATGGGGTTGAATTGAAAACCAAGCTAATCTACTCTCCTCATTTACTATAAATAATCCATTCATAGGGTCAAATAGTTTTCTTGTCAATAATATAAACCATTCTTTTCTTAAACCGCCGGCATCGACCCCTGGTTCATCTACAAATTCAACCCGCAATGATTTCAGTAAATCTTGTGGATGATTTTTAATATAGTTTAAAGAATCATGTGTAATGTGACTTCTCCTCACCTTGATTTTAAAGTAAACATCTACAGTTCTTCCCTTATCAAGTGATTTCAGAAATGCCTGTTCAGCTTTAAATTCCATTATTCTTCTTACTTCATATCCCAAAATTGATATCTTTAATCCAAGCGAAAGTAGAAAAGGATACTGGCATAGAGCATATCCATGAGATGAGTTTATCTCAAGAAGTTCCCAATTTTCCATAGAGCTTAGTGTTGACCTTCTACTAATATTTCTCAATTTTCTCCAATTTTCAAAATCCTGTTTAAAATCAATGAAATCGAGCAATATGTTATAAAAAGAACTAGAAGTTATCTTATTTTCATTTCTTTCTTCATTTCCTATATAAAGGACGCGTAACAGATTTGATGCAGTTCTTATGTGCCAATTCGAATCATATTCATAACTCTTAAACTTAAAACCCTGTAAACAAGGAGCTACCCTTCCATTTAATTTTGCTAAAATGTCACTAGTTATTTCATCAGAGCTCCAGATATTATCAATATTGTTCACATTTTGATTTGTCATTGAATTATTATTAATATTATTGTTATTAGTATTATTAGTATTATTGATAGGTTTGTTAAATAATTTGCTTTCCCTTTTGTTAGCAGTATCCTTAGTATTGGAATAGATGATCTTGTTAAATTGAAAAGTGACATATAAATTTACTCTTTCTATGTCATTAATTAAAAGTTGTAATGGTAAATGTTTGAAATATTTAACCAGCTGTTTATAAACAATAGAATTTGTTATAACAATATTTGAGATATATCCTATGCTTCTCTTTATCAATTCATAGGAAATTGAATTAATTTCAGGTATGAAAAATTTACCATTAAGTAATCTCGTTTCCCTTTTAGAGTTGTAAATTAAACAGTCTTTCAGTATTGGATTCAGCCAAATGATAAATATCCAATGCAATTCGGCTAAATCATTATTCTTGTCTTTTAATAACAATGGCTTTCCTGGTTTCCTTAATACGGTATTAAACACGTGCATTAAAGTATAGAGAGGTTTCCTTGTAGGCAACTTCACTAATTTTTTATAGAAATGGAATAATTGTTTGAAGTCAATTTGCGTAAATGGTTCATCTGAAATAAATGATTTATTGATTTTCTCAACAGTATCCAACTTTTCTGTTAAATATGATATTAATGGTTCATAAAAAATTGAACATCTATCCTTTGTCTTATTACGATTATTTAAATAATTCAAATCACAATCTTCTAATATTTTAATGAATCTATCATAGTTGAATGCTTCTAAGAATTCTATCTCCATTCGATCATCTTTATTTTCACTCTCATCAACATCTTTTGACGGTAAATACACTATCGTATGGCAAACAGCACATTTAAATTTTGGAACTTTTTCTGGTAAATGTAAAGAAGTTCCGCAACAAGTACAATTTGTTATAAATATATTTTTAATAGGCGGTATTTTTCCTTTTTCAGTAGAAGAATTGTTCAACTCAGTTTTAACTTTTGTTGAAGATATAATTTTGATTTTATCTTTCTTCTTGTTTTTAAAAAACGCAACCATACCTAAAAGATTTTAATAATGTCGCTACTATGTCCCCAATAATTTCACCCACTTATAAATAAATAAAAAATGATTATATTAATATCAAAGCAAAAAATAAATTAGCAATTAATTGGACTAATATATGTACCTTCCTAAATTCTTGTCGAACAATTCTCTAAACAAAATTAAAATAAAATTTCAAATTCTTTATTTGTCAAGTCCCAATTAATATAATTATATATAAATATATGGATAGAAACAGTTGTTTAACTCTCTTAATGATAAATAAAGAAAAATAAGACGGTGTAATCTACGAGGACCCTCTTATATCATCAGATTCTGATTCAGTATAGTAACCAGCCAACGTACCCTTAGCTAGGTCAGGAAGACTTTCACGACTATGGTTCACAACAATAACTAACACAAATCATACATCGATCTCTTTCGAATGGTATACCAATTCAGCTTTTGCATTGCAGTGTTATGTGTTTGTTATTCCTCATAATTTTGCACAATCAAAGAAAAAGCTTTAAAGTTCCTTGAAGACGCCTTTCAGGGACTGTGGTACCTCAAAGTGTTGATATGTACACCTGTACACCGCGCAGTGGAAATGTGGGTTAATTGATTATCGAAATATTACCAAATACAGCTTAAATTGGCTATCACGGCCTTGGCAATTGGATAAGTAGATGGATTAGTGATTGGATCCTGTATTGATCTTGTTGTTGTCGTTGTTGTTGTAGCTTGCTTTTGAAACAATAATGTTAAAATATTTATTAATATACTTATTGTATGTGATTATCTTTTATGTAAAAAAAAAATTACTTAACGATAAATAGATAGATAGAGTTAGGAGTGAATCGGTGAAGGTTGAAGAATTTCAAGCTGGATGAAAAAGAAATGCTTTGTTCCTCACTTTTTCTCATTTCTCGTGGGTTGCTTAGATCAACAAAGTTTCAATCTTGTCCTTGACGGCGTAGATTTGGTTCTTGATGGAAGAAGCATCGTTGGTGGTAATAGAAGCAGCGATAACTGGTCTAGAAACACCACAAGCTCTACCTAAAGCAACTCTTGATGGGACAAAAACGTAAGCAACGTTTTTATCTTCACATAACAATGGTAAATGCAATAAGATTTCGATTGGTTCACAGTCAGCGGCCATGATGATGAATTCAGAGATACCTCTGTTCAAAGTCTTGGTGGCTTCGTTAGCACCTTTCTTCAATTGTCTCAAGTTAGCAGCTTGTTGAACAACATCCAAAATTTGTTGAGTCAAATCAGCATCAGCTAATGGGAAAGCTTTTGGGTTTGGAGCAGAAGACATCGTTGTTTGTGAGTTTATCGAAATATGCAGAGTGTGATATAATTGGGTTTATACTATAATAAAAAATATAAATAAATAAGTATAGGTACTAATTTATTTTGCTTGATTTATTATTGTTGTTGCTTCAAGTTCCTTGCTTTAGAGTCGCTAATATATAATCGAATCAAAATACAATAAAACTACTCTATGGGAAGAATGGATAGCTCGCCTGAATGGTGTTTTTAAACAAAACTCAAGAATAAGAATGCAATTAATGAGGAAATATAATAGTAGTACTAATAGAATTACAAATCGCTCTTCATAAAGTTTTACTTCTATTTATATGAACTGTTCCAGTGTAGTGGATTGATCTTGTTCTTGTTGGTTTCGACCTAAACTCATCGCTTTCGCAATGGAAAAAAAATTTTTCTTTTTTCTTTTTTCTTTTTCTTTCTTTTTTTACATTTTCTTTTCTTTTTGCTGAGGGTAATAGAAATGGTGTCACGTGATGTATTTTGAAGTACGAGTGTCACGGACTCTCTTTCGATCCTTTACTGAAAGAACAAAGGGGAATGGTTATTGGAAGAACATTAGAATTCAATATGAAAACAAAAATAAATGCAATTGAAATGGACACTTCTATTACCGTTGTGTGCTTTTGATGTTTGGATGTTGGATATCAGATAAAACAGCTAAACCGAAACAAATCCACAGCGGTAATTTACCGAACCGAGCCGAACCGAACCGAGACCTTTCCAAGATGATTTCTTACCCGGTCCGTAGATCACATGACTCTATTTCTTTTATGGCAATCGATATCTTCTTAAATTTGATATGTGTGTCTCCCTCTACAATAAAATGAAATATATAATAATACGTATATATGAAGCTTATAGATTTCTACCATCCAGATATCAATATTTGTCTCCTCCCCTTCATTCTCAAAAACCTTATCCACTGACGTCATAATAATGCCCTCACTAGAATTGTGACTTCGTGTAAAACCATATTCGGGGCTCTTCTTGAAAATGACAGCATGCAGCATTGACATCATAATTCGAATCGAAGTAACTCTCTTCAATTCATTCAGTTCGATTCGAACTAGAAAAAGGATTCGAAGATCAACCATAAAATAGGTGCACTGCATTCACCGTATATTTCTAGACACTACACCTTTGATCACATTAGTCACTCTCTAGAAAAACCAGGTGTCTATTAACAAGGGAAAGAAAAAAACTGTTCATTACCCATCCCCATCTCATCGAACTTGTTATACTAACAGCTATTTCTTTTCCTTTGCAATTGCTATCCATTCCTTCTTCTCATTATAATTTTTATCATTGTAATTGCAAGTTGAATTGATCATATTAATATAATTTGCTGGTTGGTCTTCATTCTTTAACTCGATTCAGTACTAATCCACATTGAATTAACTTCATCTACTCGCATATTCATATAACCCTGCATACTTATCAAGATATGTCACAATATCGTGAGCTTGAATTAGATTCAAGAGATGATACACCATCAATGGTCACGTTGGATAGAGATCAGGTCATCCCAGAAACCGCTAAATTCGACCAATTCGTTACAATTGATTGGATCACTGAAGAAAATACTCCTTTGCTTAGTATACCAAATGAAAGAGATGTCTTAAATGATGGTTTTAAAAAATATAGGCAGTTATTATGGGAAAGGTCGAGAACTGTGGTTACATTGACCGTAATTGCCGTAACAATTGGGTGCATCGCAGGTTTTCTCCAAATATTTACTGAAACCTTGGTAAATTGGAAAACAGGCCATTGTGCAAGAAATTGGTTATTAAACAAGTCATTTTGTTGTAGTGTAATAGAAACCTCTCCAAATAATTCTAAAAGATTATATGACTTCAAATTAACCAAACGTGATGAATTAGATTGTTTAGACGAAGGACTTTGGATAAATTGGTCAGGTTATATTACTCCATTTCCAATATTTTTGATTTTATCGGTATCTTTCTCACTGATAAGTACTTTATTAGTAAAATATGTGGCCCCAATGGCTACAGGTTCAGGTATTACAGAAATTAAAGTTTGGGTTACTGGGTTTAAATATAAAGATGAATTTTTGAATGCAATCACACTATTCGTTAAAAGTATAGCATTGCCATTGGCTATCTCCTCAGGATTAAGTATTGGTAAAGAAGGACCTTCTGTTCATTATGCAGCTTGTGTGGGTTACACTGTTGCAAACTGGTTGCTAAGGGATGTCTTGACCTTTTCACAACAATCTGAATACTTGATCGCAGCCAGTGGTGCTGGTGTAGCAGTAGCATTTGGTGCACCAATCGGTGGTGTATTGTTTGGTTTGGAGGAAATTGCTGCATCAAGTGAGTTTAATGCTTCTACTTTGTGGAAGTCATATTATGTCGCATTAGTTGCTGTGGCCACTTTGAAATGGATTAATCCTTTCAGAAATGGTATGATCGTTTTATTCAATGTCACATATGATAAATATTGGACCAAAGGTGAAATTCCTGTATTCATCTTTTTAGGGATTTTTGGTGGATTGTATGGTAAGTATATTTCAAAGTGGAACATATACTACGTCCACTTACGTAGAAAGTACTTAACAAAATGGCCTGTTCAAGAAGTTATTATTCTGACTATATTCACTGCTTTTATTTCTTACTTCAATGAATTTTTAAAGCTAGATATGACAGAAAGTATGGGTATTTTGTTTCATGAATGTGCTAAAGGGGATGATATATCAGCATTTGGTCATAGACTATGTCAACTAGACAAAACTTCCAATGTAGGAAGTTTCATTCAGATAATTAGTTCCCTTTTGTTTGCAACTATTGTTAGATCCCTACTTGTTGTTATTTCTTATGGTGCAAGCGTACCAGCCGGTATTTTTGTTCCATCAATGGCTGTGGGTGCTACTTTCGGTCGTGCAATCAGTTTATTTGTGGAACGTTTTATTAGTGGTCCAGGTGTAATTACTCCGGGTACTTATGCATTTTTAGGTGCTGCAGCAACGCTAAGTGGTATCACAAACCTAACCATCACTGTTGTAGTCATAATGTTTGAACTTACAGGTGCATTTATTTACATTATACCTACAATGATGGTTGTTGCCATAACTAGACTAGTCTTGAATCATGAAGGTATCAAGGGCGGTATTGCTGATCAAATGGTTTTTGTCAATGGTTTCCCTTATTTGGAGTATGAGAAGGAAGACTTATTCATGAAAGAATTTTCTGCGGGCAGTATAATGACAACAAATTTGAAATTTTTATATGAAACGATGAATCTTGCTGAACTAAAAGACTTTCTGTATTCTGGGGATGGTTTGAAATTAAAAGGTTTCCCTGTAATAAATGAATCGGATAGATTGGAACCTACAAAAAGATGTGTTGGATATGTTTTAAAGAAACACATACTAGCAAGATTGTTATCACCAGAGATGGATTTTTCTAATCCTGAAATGATTACTGTTAGTTTAATGTCCTCATCTAAAGCATCTCAGATAATGCTAGAAGGTGATGACATTCTTGATTTTAGTGATATTGTCAATTCTTCCCCGATTTTTATAAAGAAGAATGTACCAGCTACTTTATTATTCCGTATGTTCAAACAGCTTGGTTGTAAAACCATATTAGTTGAGGAAAGCGGTGTTCTAGAGGGTTTGATAACAAGAAAAGATCTTTTGAGATTCCAGAGAATCAAGCATAGAGAAGTTTTTGGGCCAATCAATCAATCCAATAAATTTTTTGATGATATAGTACGACCATCAATACAAACAGTAATCAAAACGCTTTCTACCTAATCTTTTATGTAAATAATCTATTATATTGGGTTAGATATAAACTTAATGATAAAACTTTAATCTTTAGTATAGAGAAGTATATTTACCTAAGAGTCTTAAAAATCATTAGCAGCTGCGATATGGTATGGTTCTTTAATTTTTTATTTAATTGTGAGATAAGGAAACTAATTATTCAGATAGATATATTAAAAAATAAGTAATATATATACCATATATAATCACAAACAGTTCAACGATATTTATAAAATGACAGTGAAAATAGCAAATTGCTTTCTTTGTCAAGTTTTAAATTACATTTATAGTTTATATTATTAATATTTTTGGTGTAAAAGAAAATAAAGTTAGGATGCATGGTCAATTTATTAACGTAGATGGAGATGTTACAGGGATACAACTCCATGAATATTTTTTTTATTCTACAAAACATTCAAATGTATCCCCCCCACAGTTTATTTTTGATTTCTAAATGTTCAATGTAAATGGCTTAGAAATAGTTACAAATAATATTTCCAAAAGAAAAGTAAAAAATTTTAGAAAACAGGAAATCTGTCTTTCTTCCTCTTCATCTAACAAATTACATCTTGAGTGGCTCTAGAGTTTAATAGTAAAGCAACAATTAAACCATATAAACCTAAAACTTCAGCAAAAATCAAAATCAAAATCATACCGACGAATAATCTTGGTTGTTGAGCAGTACCTCTAACACCAGCATCACCAACGATACCGATGGCAAAACCGGCAGCTAACCCACTCAAACCAACTGACAAACCAGCACCAAGTTGGATAAACCCAGTATATAAAGCTTGTTTTTGAGTTAAAGAAGAAGAGATCAAAACTGAAACAACCAGACCATAAATGGCAATAATACCTGCCATAACAACTGGAACAACGTTCTTAATCAATAAGTCTGGTCTCAAAACACAGGTGGCACAAATACCAACACCAGATTTAGCTGTACCATAGGCAGCACCTAAGGATGTGAAAATAATGGAAGCTGCACAACCAATGGCACCAAAAAATGGAGCATAAACAGGGCATAAATCGGTACTCATCTTAAATGTGTATATTTAAGGAAATTTTAAATTAAATCTAATGTATTATAGTATAATAGATAGCCAGAGATCAATCGATAGCTAACTTAAAATTGTACTATTGTAATCCGTTCTTATGATAAAGGAGATACAAAACTTATAGCAACACTGAAAAACCTCAATTAAGTTGATCTAGCAAAATACTGAAACTAATATATTCCAATCACTGTCAATTCCCAACTGAACTAATCCTAACAGATACAGAGTTGTTTAAACCTATCAACTAAAACCGTTTAATTCATCATCTTTAATAAGTACAAGTATCTTAACTTTAATATCTCTTTCTCATTGCATTTCGCCATTTTAACAAATTTCAACCCTTTTGCAACCATTCATTGGGTCATGTGATTTGTTTCCGGGTAATGGGTGACTACTTGTATCATTAGTTACGATATGTGTATACACAATATACAAGTTATAATTATTTAAGAGTGGTCGAAGACAACAGGTATGGATCAATATGATGGCATTATATTAGAGGACTATACTTGAATATTTAATTGTCTATAATCTTAATTTTAAATTTCTATCTTTTCATTTTGATTTCTTGAAAAACCCTTCGATAGATCTCTGCTTTTTCTTCTGCGGTTGCGCTATTAGAGGAGTCGATGCTGTTGATACTGATCTCTTTGGAGTTTTTCTTGCTGGTGAGGATGATATTGGGGTTGGTTTTCTCTTTGTGACGATGTATCCATCATCATCAACAAATGAAGATTCTTCTTCTACGGTTTCCTTGGTCTCAACTGTTGCTAGTTCCTTATCTTCTTCTTCAGCTTTAACACCGATATTGCTCTTGGAAACGTTTAGTAACGATTCTTCCGCTGTCGTATCAAGAAGATCTTCTAATTCTTCTTTTATGTTACTCTTTCCTGGTTCATTTTTGGTTTCTGATTCTTTCTCATTCGGAGACGATTGTATTTCCTCTAATGCTTGATCATCTTCATCATCAAACAATGTTTCTAACTCTTCCATTTGGGCTTTCTTTTCAGGATTACTTTTCAATTCTCTTTCCACCTTTTCTTCTCTTCTCTTTTTTAATTCCCTTTGCCTCTCTGCCTCTTTTTCTTCCCTCTCCTTTCTCATTTTAGCAAGAATAGCAGTAGACCTTAAACCTGTATCCTTTGATGGCTTGGTTGCACTTGTATGTTTTTTTGATTCTGTAGGTACTGTCTTGGATCTTCCAAATATACTAGATTTTTCAACCTTAGGTTTGGTCTCTTCCGTTGTCCTAGATCTAGTCACCTCAGTTGCGCTTACTTTTAATTGATGAGTATTTCTAATGCTTAGACAATCAGATTGGTCTGTAACAGCATTGACAGAGATAAACTCTTTTATTGGGTTTAATGCATAAATAAAACAATCTACTAAACTATCCTCTTCTTCTCTTACATTGCTGACATCATGTACAACTTTCACCGAACCATTTTTATAGCAACACATCAAAACACAATTAAACTTGACATTGGTAGCTTGTTTGTAGTAGCTGTACATCAAGCCTTTAGCCCTGGAAGGCCCAATCTTGAAATTAAAGATCAAATCTTGGAATAAAACAGGTTTGGTCTCTGTGAATAACTTGTTATTAATAAAATCGATTGCCTTTTTTTCAACTTCACTCATAATCTATATATTTGCCCTTAATTATACCTCTGATTCATAAACAAGATTAACAAAAAGTTTTATAATAATCAGTACACCTACTGTACACTGGATTATTATATCAGAAGTTAAATAATCCTTTAGTTTTTAACTCTTTGTTGCTTGTAAAATATTATCTTATTCATCTCATTGCAGCTTTGAAAAGTCGCGTAAACTTTTGAGCATTTCGATTTAACGCGTCAAAATTAATATCGTAATGGTAAAAGTGCCTAGATATTAACTCATAATAAGTAGATCACTCCATGTTTTTGCTTGTGAATTGGCTCTCGTATATTAGTTAGCTGATTATTGACTGATCGAAATTTTAAAAATTTGAAAGGTGGTTATATCTATTTGCTAAAATCAAAGACTTTTGGTTACAGGGCCATAAAAAACCATGAAACTTGCGCCCATTTTCCCAGTGAAACTGTAGACAATCATAGATGCATTAAATAAATTTCTCGCATGTCATTTATATATGGCACACATGGATTACATTAGGAATTGTTCCTAAATCTGGACTTCAATAAATATTTCTTAGTGAAAGTTGTCTTTAAAATCTTTGTTTAAGATACACCTACGAACCTACTACCTAAGTTTACACCAATGCTTTCACTAAAAATAGGAATTAAGAATACTAATTATATATCTTACCTCTTTCTTAAATTGAACTTGGATTCTCAACTGTATAATGTTTCAGTGTTTTTGATTTATGAATATCTGAGAATTATCATTCTTGATGTCTTAAGTGTTAGAAAACTTTTAATTACATAACATATAGGCATCAAGCAGTTTGTGCAAAATATTCACTTCATGAGCATGAAAAGATGAGATTACAGGAGTTGCTAGTAGTTACCGTACCATTATGAAATGGTTAGTGTTAGTATCTAGCGAATTCTTACCTTGGTCCTATATAGTTACTATTAATATTATTATTCAAAATCATTATATGATTGTTACCTATTTAGATAATTTCCATATTTCTCTTGCCATTATCATGCCTATCAAGACTCTTTCTTTGGGTATCTTGTTACCAGTTAAGTGAGACAAGATTCAGTGATTACATTATTTAAAAAAAATTATTAAAAAAGAAAATTAGCGCCGCTCGGTTTCGATCCGAGGACATCAGGGTTATGAGCCCTGCGCGCTTCCACTGCGCCACGGCGCTTGCTAATTTGTTGTTTTGTATAAAAAATTATCTCTACTAATTGAATCAATATTTCGCTTATTTGGCACTGATTTTGTTTTAGTACAAAGTGATAATAATAAGAAGGTAAGAGGATCCGTCATGTTTGTTAAAATGAATGACGTCAGCCACTCGCGAATATGACATATATAAAGGACATAGTTTCTTAATGCTGTAACCTAAAATATAGGAAATACAACTATATGTTCCCAGGATATTCATACCACGCGTTAAATGTTATTTATTGCCCTAAGCATATTAAAAGCAAAGATTACTAATAATATCGGGAAATGGTCTGTCAATGGCATGGATAGTAATTATTATGATAGATTGTAATTGGTGAATTCCCAATGATGTACTCGATCATCTGATCATTTGCTAATCATGGCATAGGAAGTCGAGTACAAAAGAATCACTAGTTATTATGATTAAATAATAATGCTAAGATTATGAGATTGAATCTAAACGTATAAAAAGGCATGATATTTTGGAATATCTAAAATATTATTTGTCTAAAATAGTGATATATATTTATTTAGTTCATTTATAAGACATTGTAGAGAAATACATATAATTATGACTTTAAAATTATCTTTTAAAAAATCTCTATAATGAATCAATCAGATATTACTTTTACATCTGAACAATTTCAAATATTTAGGTCAAGCTACTTCCTTATTAAGCCAATTGATAAGAAAAAACTTACATGAATATCTTTCACATAACCAGGGAACAATTTTTATGTATGTTACCATTTTTACATATTGTACAAGATAAATAAGAAAAGGGAATCTTACGGTTCATTAAAGTACTTATAAACAAGAAAAAATAATATTAACTCAGAGTTGACATAAAGAACTTGTAGCAAAATATGATCTGTTTGTATATTTAAACGGCATACGGTATCCTAAAATGCTAGCTCCTACTCATATTTTTATTTTTTCTCCTTTCTTTAGAGTGTTTTAATTTAATAACGTATCATTAACGTTTTTATGCTTGTAATAATTTCCTTTCTTTATGTTTCTTCTGGTAGATATCCCTTCATTAAAATTCTTGATGTAGGAATTTGAAGTTCATTAATTAACAACAAAAACTATCTTAAGAATCACTTTTTTATCTTCCATCCTTGATCTAGTAACTTATGCAAAGGTAAAAAGTTGTCGAGGTATCTCAATAAAATAGGTCAACTAACTACAATAGTTATCTATATCTTTGAGAAATTCTTAACTTAACAAAATTAAACTATGACACCTTTTTCATATAAGTAGCAATACTTTTTGGTTCATTATTTGTAATAATTATGTTAGGAATATTATAATTATTATCTCAATAATTTATAATATTTA